GGTTTAAACTACATTGGAACTTCTCATTTTCTGGAAGGGAATTAGTACAGAAGGCCCGTCAATTCAGTTTTTCCTAGAGCAGTCATGTTAGGAATTTTCCCTCCTTCGAAATATAGTTCCAAAGAATCATATTTTCTGATACAAACATCTGATGCAGATAGGCCAGTGTTTTATACTCATTACAGCAATTACACACTGTGAAATTCATCCAAATTCATGTTATTCTAGAGGAACTAACAGAAGTCCTTAAAGATGCTTTTGCTATTTTTCAGCTCGTCTTACTCTGTCTTGAAACTATTAAATAGAGAAAGACATTGAGTCAATATTAACTTTTATATCACCACTATCCAAATTAAACAAATATCTCTGAACTGTTAAGTTGACAGAAGAGGGCAAAAACCCTCTTTACTTTCAATGTAAATAAGGTAATGTAAAGAGATTTTTCAAAACTGTTTTGGAGCATTTCTATTGGTCCAATTATATGAACATTTTCAGACAATGTAAAGGACAGCTGCCCTGTTGAAATGATGAAGAAAATATATGCCTGTTTTTAATTTGATGCCAGCAATACATTCCAAAAAAATTAGGAAGGGGGATGTCACCACTGTGTTCCATCACGTCTTCTTTTAACAATACTCTGTAAGCATTTGGGAACTGAGGAGACCAGTTGCTGTAGTTTTGAAGGTAAAATGCTTTCCTATTCTTGCTTGATATAGAATTTTAGCTGCTCAACATTAATTCCATCATCCTTTCTTTAGATTTAGTGGACTGTTTGTTGGGCTGTCTGGTCATGCCTTTAAGCATGGTGAGATGGATGGAAGGCTGCTGGTTCTTGGGTGAATTTTTTTGTCAAATCCATTCCAGTTTGGATATGATGTTAAGCATTGCCTCAATTCTCGACCTGTGTTTCATATCCATTGATTGATACTTGGCCATTTATGAAGCTCTGAGTTACAGAATGAAGGTGAAAAATGCCAATGTGGAATAAGGAATGGGGTGTTATTGTACCACTTTTTAAATTTTAAAAGCCAAGTGTCGGAGCAGAGCTAAAATGCTGGGTATTGTTATGGGGGTTTTCCTGTTGTGCTGGCTGCTGTTTTTCCTCACCACTGTAACCGATCCGTTCCTTGGCTTCTCAAGTCCTGTTGACGCTTTTGATACCTCGGTGATTTGGCTATTTTAAATCCATATTCAACCCTCTGATGTATGGCTTTTTTCTATCCAAGCTTCCATAAAGCATTTAAGATTATCATATTGTGATACCCTGGTGGGTGGAGGAGGAAGGGGTATGATGGAGGTAGCCACAGAGGCATTGAGATATTTTATTATATCACTCACAAAGGAACAAAAAAAAAAACACTAGGCTTAGAGTTTGCAGCCCTTATTAATAATAAAATCAAGAGTCCATCATCAATCTTGTCGTTCAGGCTAAGCTTGTATTTCAGGTTTCTCTGCAGCCTCTGATCTTCCCTCCCAGCTCTCTTTTTACTTAGGAAAGAAGGGCATATAAGTAGGGAGAGGCAATTATCCACAGGTACACACGCGTGCCACTCAGCCCGTGCCCTCACTCACATCAGCCCTCCGCCTCACAGATGGTTCTTAATGGTGCCGTACTTATCCCTCACAGAGATCTTACAACTAATGTACAGCACCAGGCGGTCCTCCCCATCCACCACTTGGGACAAAACAGCCCCCAGGCAAGTCTGACACGTCTGTATGCAAGATAAAATGGAGAGCAACGTCAGGCGAGTGCAATAGCGGACCCTCACAAGGCACTGCTTTAACTTCAATAAAAGCCTGCTGACACTGCTCCATCCACTGGACCGGATCTGGTGCCCCCTTTTTAGTAAGATCACTCTTGGGTCTCAGACAGGTCGCAATCTCAGCAGTCTTATCACTTTGGGGATGCACGTGTCCAAGACCCATTTACACACTTCTTCAGGTTTGCTGTGAGCCCTGCCCATCCATCTCAAGGACTTCAAGACTGACCTCAGATGCTGTACTTGCTGCTGCCAACCATTACCATAAATAATGATGTCATTCAAATAAGCAGCAGCATATGTAGCGTGGGGCCTTAGGATTCTATCCATGAGCCTTTGAAACATGGCAGGAGCCACAAACAACCTGAATGGAAGTGTGACAAATTGGTGTAATCCAAAAGGAGAATGCTGTTTTTCAGCAGGAAACTGGAGTCAAAGGGATCTGTCTGTATCCCTGAGTTAAATCCAGTGCCAAATAAACGTGAGCAGCGCCCAACAGACTGAGCAAATCGTCAATATGTGGCATGGGTTGAGCACTGAATTTAGACACGATGTTGACTTTTCTATAATCACAGAACCAAACAGTCTCATCGGGCTTGGGAACAAATACTACAGGGCTGCGCCCATCACTGCCCAACTCCCATATCAAGCATTGCCTTAAGTTCCTTATAAACTACTTTTTTCTTGTGTTCAGGTAATCTATAGGGACAGCAGAGGGGTCTCCATGTAGTACTCTATGAGGTTTGTTGTTCATGGCAGACATGAAAGCACATCAAGAAACTCTGTTCGCAACCTGGCGAGCTCTGTTTTCTGGGACGGCAAGAGCCGGTCACCACATGGAACCAAAGTGTGTTTTGCGAACCTCCAGTCCCAACTCAGCTCTCTCTGGGACAGCCATCACCAGCACAACAGGGATCACCTTTCTCCACAGTCCAAGGAGGTTGAGGTGGTGTATCTGTAGTAAATCAACTCTGTCAGATCGTGTCGCCTCACAGTCGACCTCTCTGACTCGTCGTGTGATCTTAAAGGGTCCTTGGCACTTGGCAAGTAATTTTGAGCTCGATGTGGGAAGTAAAATGACTACTTTCTCTCCCAATGTAAATTCCTGCAGCTGAGTGCCCCAATGCATATGCAGCTCTGCAGTTCTTGAGCTCTGGGCAAATTCTCCTAAGTTTGGTTACCAAGTGCACAGAGTTTTATTCTCAGATCAAGAATGTACCGAACTTAATTTTTGCTATTTGAAGGTCCCTCCTCCCAGTTTTCCCTAATGATATCTAGAACATGATGAGGCTTTCATCTGTATAGCAATATAAAGGGAGAGAACCTTGGGGAGGCTTGCAGGACCTCTTTAGTGTGCTTTAGTGTGTCATCCTATGATGGCTCCAGAGGGAAAGCACCTAGAGGAACCCCGATGGCAGAGCCCTGGAGCACAGCCACCCTGTCAGTATTGGCTCTGCTATCCAAGTCCCCACCTTGCCTATGGAACAGCACAGGATGGACCTGGAAGCTCGTCTTGCCCTGAAGCCACACAAGTCACACACCATCTCTCACTACGGGACCCATCCTTTACAGTTCCTTAACTAACCCTTTAACTGTGGCCAATTGGTCTCCAAAATCAGAGGATGGGTAAGGCAAGGACCAATCGCTTTCTTGACACTTTTCTCCTCGGAAATCAGTAGTGACAGATACGAGCAGATATTCGCATATATCCCCATGAATACACAGAAAACTCACTGGTATGCAGTCTGTCCCTGCTCGATAAGGAGAGATGTGTGGAGAGTCGGGAATCCGGACCAGGGTCCTAACCTCCATGTGAAGACACTGATCCTGGAAATGGCCTGGTTCCCAGCATCCCCAACACACCTGCCTAGGCTTTGTCCCAGCTCTCATGGGCTCATCAGATGCCACCTGTGCAAATAGAGAGGGCAATGGATGAAAAAGGGAGGGGTTACCGGGCCCCATACATGCAGTAAGGGTAAGGGGAAAAGGTTTTGGGGGAAATGCTCCTTTTTTATCGCAGAGCTGGTATGGGGGGATAGAGAGAGAGAGAGAGAGAGAGAGAGAGGGAGAGAGAGAGAGAGAGAAAGAGAAGACATAGGTGGTTGATGAGTGGTTCCTGCCTCCCACATGTGCGCCTCTGCCATGAACGCAAAGGGCCAGTTGAACTCCCACAGCATTAGTGAGTGGAATTGCTGCTGGTGCTGCTCAGGGGTCCGGCCGCGAGCTGGAGAATGGCTTTCTTCAGCTCTATGTACTTCAGCTGTGAATGCAGTGAGAGCTGCTGAGTGGCCAGCTGAGCCTCCTAAGTAAGCAGGGGAACGAGTTGAACTGCTTAGTCCTTCTCATCCCACTGATAGTTCTCCATGGCCTAATCAAAAGGCTCCACAAACATTTCGGAGTTGTCTTATGAAGTCATCTTCCCGAGGGGGACAGTGGCAACAACTGGAGGGTTGGTACTGTGCAGCAAGCTCCGCACCATTTTCCAGTCCTTCGCTTACAGACAAGCATGCAAGTTCTCAGTTTAATCGATCTATCTTTACTCAGAAACTTCAGATAATTTATTATCACTGATAAACCGAACAAATACTTTTGCATTGTTTTCAAGCAGTGTTTCACTTCAGAAATCATCATCAAATCTCCAGTAGATTTCATGTTTTGTGCTGAGCTGAAATGTCCATTTTCAATGACTTTGCGCCCTTTTTTGCGAATGCTGTTGTATTTCAGATTTGCGTGTTGTTTATTTGTGTTGCATTCTGTGTTTAAATGCCTTAACTTGCATTGAAGAAATATACAGCTTGTCCTTGTCTGAAGAACATACAACTCCTCTCATAACTACAAAACATACAAAACTTACACAGTGATGATAAGTGTGATAATGATTTGTGATTGGATGCAGTAGACTAGGTAAGTGTCACATGATCCCCTGGAGAATTTTGGGAGTTGGAGTCCGTGTAAGGACCAGTGTGCTGGGTATTATGGACTACAAGGCCGGAGGAAGGCGTGGTCAATCCATAAAGGAAAAGCCACTAAAGGTTCATGTTTTGTTTTCATTTGTTTTGCTTAGCTGAGCATTGCTGTTATTGGACCACAGTCTCCCAGGTGGTCATTTTCCTTGAACAGGAAACAAATATAAGTTCTTGCATTTCCATAACTAGGGATCATTCCACACATCACCATCTAACACGGTGGGGTGGATAAGACCGACCTCTGTATCTTCTTTGTGTTAAGGGAGGCTGCAGGATGCTGCAAGCTACAAATTCATCTTTCCTGGTGGAGGCAGATTTGAAGGAGTACTGTTATCCTGAGTCTAATCTGTCTTGTGTAAAAAGCTCTTACAGTGTAACCTCTAGATCTGTGTTATATGTTTTACTGGTGTTGGCGATGTCAGTGACTATTCTGGGGAACTCAGTGGTCATTATTTCCATTGCGCATTTCAAGCAACTGCACACACCCACCAACATGCTGGTGATGTCTCTAGCCCTGGCGGACCTGTTGCTGGGTGTGATTGTTATGCCGTTCAGCATGATCCGATCTGTGGATGGGTGCTGGTACTACGGAGAAGCCTTCTGCTTATTGCACTCTAGTTTTGACATTTTCCTCACCTCTGCATCTATTTTCCACCTGATCTGCATTGCAATAGACCGATATCAGGCTGTGTGCCATCCGCTTCAGTACCCAACAAGAATAACCATACCTACTGCATGGCTGATGGTAGCTCTGAGCTGGATTACAGCCGCAGTGTATTCCTACGGTCTCATGTATTCAAAGGCAAATGTAGAAAGTCTAGATGAGTACATTGAATCAATATTTTGCATGGGAAGTTGTAACCTTTTGTTTAATGCACTGTGGGGGCCTCTGGATGTATTGTTATGTTTTCTTTTGCCTTGCACAGTCATGTTTTGCTTGTATGCTCAAATTTTTTTGGTTTCAAAAAGGCACTCGAGGAAAATCGAGGGAACAAAGCAGAGCAAAAATGAGACGAGCTTAAACAGGGTTTCTCAAAGCATGAAACGTGAGAACAAGGCAGCGAAAACCCTCGGCATTGTTGTAGGTACATTCATTTTTTGCTGGATGCCGTTTTTTGTCAACTCTCTAATTGATCCTTACATTAACTTCTCCACTCCTGTGGTACTTTTTGAAGTGTTTGTCTGGTTGTGTTACATTAATTCAACTTTAAATCCCTTAATATACGGCCGCTTCTCCCCATGGTTCAGGAAATGTCTCTATCTCATTGTTACACTGAGAATATTTGCTCCTCATTCCTCTGACACTAATGTCATTGCAGCTTGAAAGCATTTAATATCTTAAATGGAATTAATTAACTGAACTTTTCAATTTCTGGAATGGAATTAGTTGTAATGCAGAACATCTATCAATTCAGTTTTTCCTAGTGTTAGGAATTTTCCAACTTTTGAAAGAATTAAAAATACTATTCATTCCAGAAAACCATGGTCTCTGACACAGTTAGGCCAATGTTCTAAACTCATTGCAAATATTACACACTGTGAAATTCATCCATATCCATGTTGTCTAGAGGAACTCAGAAGGGCTTGAAGATGCCTTTGCTATTTTTTCAGCTCCAGTCAAACTATATCTTCAGACTTTTTAAACAAGAATGACATTAAATCCATATAAACTATTACATGTTCATAAACTGTTTTACTGTACTGTTTACTTTTCCATATAAGTGACTTATTTATTTTACCAAAAAGGGATTATGCTAATTTGTTTAAGAAGAAATAAACAGAATCAGGTTATTTTTTTAATAAATTCAGCCTAATTTAAAGTCATTGAAAATGTTTTTATGTGAAACTAGATTTTTATACAATGGAGGATACAGGAACCAGAGGCTGCAACATATCTTCTGAGTTTAAATGTGATATAAAATTATGAAAATATAAGGTAAACTTTAAAAAAAGTATGCCCTGCATGGTTGTACCCCTCCACCATGAATGGATTGAAAATATATCTTTCTGGCCAAACTCAGAAAATAATAAAACAATGTGTCAGACGTCAGCATATTCATAACCATTTCATGTAATAATACTCTTTGAGGGAGTTGAGGGAGCTGGTTTCTATCACCACTTCTGTGAACATCTTTTCTAGAACAGAGTATTTTGCATCAAACCACTCTGAGTTGGTTTACCTATTTACATGTTGATCTCAACACCATTTCTGAGCATACCTAGCTTTTACACAGGTCCAAACTGTTTCCACAAAGCTGGAAACAGAATAATCTGTTACTATATACTACAACATTGAAGTTTGCATTAGTTAGAACTATGGGAACCTGATCAGTTATGGTCAAAATTGAGGACAATGTGTGTGAATTCTGAATAAATGGCTTACCAATGGAGTATTGGGGGAAAATAAATAAACAAATAAATATGTGCCAATTTTTGATGCATTTGGGATCATCAGCTGATAACTGGAATCTGAAAAAGCCCTTTATGCACCAGGAGGTGTTGTTGAAGGTAGCAATGATGATGCAACTGTTGGACTCTGGGTCATTGATTGGCAATAAGAACAGGCAGCATGAAGAAACCCACTGGAGACCCCGGCAGTGCTGTGTAGACAGGTGGTATAGTGTAGTTCGCCTGGCCACCAAAGGTCAAGTTCTTGGCCACCAGTCGTTTTAGGCCGCTTAGAATTTTAGAGTCATATTTCCAACATTTCTCTTCTAGTTAAGAATTCAGAGAAAGTTGTTGAACAGCTGTATTCTTTTTTTACGCAAGGACAAAAATATTCAAAAATGTCATAGTAATGTAAATGTTAGGAAAACTTCATAATGAAATATGAAAACAAGAGAAACAACACAAATAAATAACAGAAAAGCACAATAAAACCACCCACAAAATGGGTTTTAAGCCACAGCTAAAAAAGTGGTCATTGGGTCAGAAAGTCTAATATCAACTTTTCATAGATTAGGGACATGAAAGGCAAATGTGCAGTCCCTCCTTCACTTTAGTTTTGAGGAACAACCTAAAGCATTTAGAAGACCTCAAAGCCAGGGAGCTAACAATTCACACTTGCATGGTGATATCCCTGAACATAGATGTAAATTCACTATTCAAAGGATGGTTTAGAAAGACAAGCTAATAAAGATTCTGATCAGGGTAAGGTTATATTTATAGTGCTGTGCAAAAGTCAGTCCGACCTTTATTTACTTAATTTCCAGTCAAGTGGCCATAAAGCACAAGTTATTCATTTTTAAGATATAAGATAATCTACTTGCATAAGAAAATACATTAAAAAAAGTTTCTGAGACTTGAATTCAAAAATGATTAAAAGCTACAGAAAAAATGGAGCTCCCAACAACCACGTGGAAGAGCTGGTCGACCACAAAACTGCCCCCATCAGATAAACAGCACTTAAAGCTTTCATCTCTGAGAGAGAGGAGAAAATCAAGCTGCTTCAGATCTGAAAACCTCCACAGGTGTTTCTGTCCATCCTTCCACTGTGAGAAGACGACTCAGCGCTGTGGGTCTGAAAGGATGTGTAGCTGTCAAGAAGAAACTCACTGAGAAAAGGAGACGGACACATCAAACAAAGAAGCTGAACAATGGACTGACCACCCCAGAGTCCAGACCTCAACACCACTGAATGTGTTTGATTACTTCAGAAAATCATCAACCAGCTTCTAAGACTGAACTTTATAGAATAATTGAAAAAAGAAAAATGGTAAGTTAGGCCTTCCCCAAACTGTTCCCACAAAGTTGGAAGCTTACAATTGTCCAAAATGTCTTGGTGCTGAAGCATTAAGATTTCCCTTCACTGGACCCAGACTCGTCCATCAGACTGACAGATTGAGAAGTGTGATTCCTCACTCCACAGAATACGTTTCCACTGCTCCAGAGTCCAGTGGCAGTGTGATTTACACCACTACACCCCCATTGGCATTGTGCAGCTGCTCAGTCATGGAAACCCATTTCATGAAGCTCCTAACACGCAGTTCTTTTGCTGATGTTGCTTCCAGAGGCAGTTTGGAACTGCATGGATAGACACTGTGCTTCAGCACTCGGTGCCCCACTCTGTGAGTTTGCATGGTCTGTCGCTTCGTGGCTGAGCTGTTGTTGCTCTGAGGTGCTTCCATTTCACATTAATACCACTTGCAGTTGACAGGGGCAGATCTAGTAGGCCAGAAATTTTACAAACTGACTTGTGGCAGAGGTGGCATCCTATGACAGTGCCACGTTTAATGTCACTGAGCTCATCAGTACGACCCATTCCTACTGCCAGTGTCTGTCTATGGAAACTGCAAAGCTATGTGCTAAATTTAATCCGCCTGTTAGCAATGGGTGTGGCTGAAACACCTGAAATCAATAATTAGGAAAATACTTTCCCAATACTTTTGTCCATATAGTGTATCTTCAACCATTTCTTAAATATTGGCCAACCACAGATGCATGAATAAAGGGAAAATCCTGAACTATAATAACACTAACTAAATAAACAATAACACGCCTCATCTCAGTGTCTTTCTGCTGTTGCAGTATGAAATATCCAATGACTTGAGAAATGATGATGTAAGCCCCGGTGACCAGTCCCCCTGCATATGGGTATATAAATAGAAGCATAGGTAATTGTCCTTCTATTCAAATCCAGAGTGCTTGCGCCTGGTTATTTTGACATAAGCCACAGAATGGAAGGATAGGCTTCTGGATCGGGTCTGTCAATGGAAGATTCTTCTAAGACCTTTTTTGCCCATGTGGATTATCGCTGCATTGCATTTCTGAACAAAAGCTGCTCTGAGGACGTTCTTTTGAATGACAGCGATCTGAGCATTTTTCTGTTCATGGTGGTGATGTCTTCGCTGACAGTGTGTGGAAACATGGTCGTGATCGTCTCTATTGTCGTTTTCCAGCAGCTCCGCACACCAACTAACTTCATCATCCTCTCTCTGGCTGTGTCAGATTTTTTAATCGGGGCAGTTATGATGCCATTACAGTGTGTTATGCTTGTAGACACATGTTTACATCACGGAAAAACTCTCTGTCCTGTTTATTCCTTCATCAGCACGATTGTTGGTACAGTGTCGCTCTATAACGTTGTGCTGATTGCAGTAGACCGATATTTCGCCTTATGCAACCCCTTCTGTTATGTAGCAAAAATGACAGTGAAAACTATCTCTGTGTGCATCAGTTTCGGCTGGTGCTTTTCATTCTGTTATAATCTTATAATGATGTATGTTGGGAGTTCAGAACAAGGGGAAGGAAATGTGATCTGCTTGAGACAATGTGCAATACCGATCAATGATACCTGGGGCCTTATTGATTTTATATTCATCTTTATTGTTCCCTGTTTGTCGATAATACTGTTATATCTTAGAGTTCTTGGTGTGGTCCTAAAACATGTGAAAGCTATTTCCGATACAGCAAAGTTAACAGCATCTCAGCAGAGGAAGAAATCTGAGTTAAAAGCAACCAAAACATTAGGCTCTGTTGTGCTGGTGTATCTGATGTGCTGGATCCCGTGGTACACGTGTCTAGTGAATATTGAGAGTCTTCCAAACCCCTCTGTCAGCATCACCTATTTGATGTGTCTGTTTTTTAGCAATTCTTGTATTAATCCCATTATTTATGCAATTTCTTATCCTTGGTTTAGAAAATCAGTGAAGATCTTTGCTTTACACTGAAAGCTCTACATTCAAAAGATTTGCATTTTGAATTCTATTCTCTGGTCATTCTTAACTGATAATTTAGTAATCTGCTTTAAACCTTTGATAAATTTGATCAATTTAAAAGTATAAATATATGTTTGATAATATACTTTTTGACACTGATTTTTAAGGTTAAGGTTTGATAGATTTACCACATTCTCAAATATTACTCTAGAATAAGTTCTGTATAACTTTTCTCTGTGTAAGTAATGTTGCAAAACTTTAGATCATAGTTCGCTTGTTTACACTTTGATGCTCTTGTATGCAGTATAGGAGTTTGTATGTTTCCTTCGGGTACCTAGGTTTCCTCAACACTCAGTCCTAAGACATGCAGTCAGGCCAAGTGGATACACTAAATTGCCCCTAGGTGTGTGTGTGTGTGTGTGAGTGTGTGTGTGTGTGTGTGTGAATGTATATGTCTGTCTGTCTGCCCTGTGATGGACTGGCAACCTGTCCAGGGTGTATCCTGCCTTTCGCCCAATGACAGCTGGGATAGGCTCCAGTTCCCGCCGTAACCCAGAAGAGTAAGCGGCTTAGAAAGAGAGTGTGATAATAGTTTTACTAACATATTCTGCTTGTTATGCTACATATGTAAAGTGCTGTGAAAATGTTCTGCATTTTTATGCATGGAAGTAGGCATTTTACTCTCATACTTTCATTTAATATCGAAAAGATGGCGAGTCTTTTACTTCTTTCATATAGTAATAAACATAATTGAATAGCATTTTTTAATTCAATGAATATTTTATAATGTAAGAGTAGAATCATTAAACAAAAGCATTCACTGGCAAGTTGGTAAAATAGATTAACCCCTAAATAAAATGCACCAATATTTATATTTGATTTATTAGTTATTAACTAATGTAAACAAGAGTTATGAGTGGATCAGACACAGCAGTGCTGCTGGAGTTTTTAAACACCTCTGTGTTACTGCTGGTCTGAGAATAGTCCACCAACCAAAAATATCCAGCCAACAGAGTTTTGTGACCACTGATGAAGGACTAGAGCAGTGTTTCTCAACCCTGGTACTGGTGGCCCACTACCCTGCACATTTGTGTGCTTTTCCTGCTTTAACACACCCACTACTCACAGAGAAAACACTAAAAATGAGCGGGACAGGAGCTCCAATATCTGGTGGACTAGGAGGGATACGGCCCCGAGGAGCAGTGTTGGGTTTCTGCGCGTGACGTCCTGGATCCTGGTCTGATCGCAGACTTCCATAGCCAACACCCTGAAAAACCTGCTCCTCAACCTAGGGGTGGTCCACGGAAGGTGCTCCCCAGTTCCCTCCTGATGGTCTGCAGGGTCGTCATAGACAGATCCTATTTGTCCAGCACCGCGGTGGCTCTGAGCCTGCCCCTGTTCGGATCTCCGGTGGTGGGCATTGTGGTCGTCCTGGCCAGCCTCCCTCCAAGGCCACCCCGAACTCTTTGGGGTGGTTACTGTCACGCATCCCTCCGACTCAGAGACCTACTTCGACTCCATCTCCCAGAACCCTGTAGGGGATTATGTGACTCCTCACCCGTCTGCATGCTCCAATCAGCGTTCGATCTTCTGAATACTAACGTGTTTCACCCCTCTGTGCTAGTTGGAGTTAGTATAAGGCATCTTTGAAAGAGCTACTGAGCGGTGATTGTTGTGATTTCCATTTATTGCCTGTTTTTTTTTTACATTGCCTTCTTGCCTGATCCCTTGGACTGTTAATTGTTAATGTTTGTCTTTTTGTGCTGGCTGTCTTTTTTGGATCTGACCTATGCCCGTGTACTGACTACGACTCTGGATTTCGATTCAATCAATAAAGCCTCTTTTTGCCTTTTTACCCGCGATCGTCTGAATTCTTCTGTCACATTACATATTAGTGTAAGTGTTTAGTCAGCATTAAAGATTTTAATATTATGTCCATGGCCTGGGGTTGAAGGGGATAGCTCTTGGTCCTGACAAATGGTAGACTAACTGTAGCTTACATAGCTTCCATAAAATTTTTTGTTGAGGTTCCACAGTTTGCCGTCTACTGATTTTTAAGTGCGGCTTCTGCTCTGAAGTATTTCCAAACGGGGCTTCTTAGATTGCTCAGAGTGCAGATCACTCTTTCTGCGGCCGAGTTGGGTTGTGAACTCTCTATATATTTATATTTAGCCAGCTAGAAGTCATTGCTAACAGTAATGTTAGCTATAGTCCCAAACTGGGTGACATAAAGCAGCTTTCTGTATCATATTTACCAGTGATTTTTGTATTGATTTATTCAAAAAAGCAAAAGTTGTAACTAATGCTACAGGCACTAAACTGTCAGCAATCTAATTTCTCTTACAGCAACTTAGTATGAACGGTTAACGTTAGCTAGCACACTGTCAGAGACGCACACAGCTCTCCCACACCACAAACTATCAGAAAAGGGAAATTAAACTGTCATAGCATAACCACAGTGCAAATACAGGCTGGGGGCCATGTTTTCTAGTCAGGAGTGAAAAGTGGATGTTATCCAGAGTACCGCTTTAAAAATTGAAATAAAATTAAAAGAATGATGGTGTTTGGCAGATTGCTAACATAGCTAGCCAGCTAATGTTTGCTACTCATATTAAGGCCAGTGCTCCTCAAACTGCTAAATTAAATTAGCTACACGAGAGCTTAAATGAGGTCTAACCAGCATCACAAGCTATTCTTTTTTATTGTTCGCTGGCTTGCTGTTCATGTGTCACTGAAATGGCTCATGTTAGCCAGCTGGTGCCAGCAGCTAATGATAGCTGCCTTGTTTGGGAATGTAGCTATGGTTAGCTGTGGCTTGTAGCAGGCACAGCTAGCTACCCTGCTGGAAAAAAGCACCACACCTGATGATTTTGCTTTATAATGGGAATTGGCTTAATGCTTATATTTAGAGACCACTAGTTTCCTGTAGAACACCTTTAGATCCCATTCAGAAACCATCAAATGCAGCTGGAACACCTGTTAAACCATCAAGACCCTTACACTACGATATCAACCCGTCAGGTTTTGGACACCACCAGGAACCAGGAGAAACTTTAAATGTGTCTATGATTTTTTAGCTGCGCTAATATAAACAAAATCTATCACATTCACACTACAGACGACAGGTCTGCTGTCTTTCTAAAATATTAAAAGGACAGAAATCGCTGGCATGCTGGACAAAGACACAGTGACTGCTTGATGTGAGCCAGATGCAGCAGTAAACAGGGCTATTGTTGACCGATACCCCCGACACACAGCATTTAATGTATGTAGCTTATTGTTTGAGTGCTACAGTACACTACAATGACGTATTTATATTGTCTCTGCAGTAGTTATACGTAGCTTAAGTGAGTTTTACCCCACTGACACTTAGCGGTTCTTTGTCAAAGGGTTCATTGAAACAGGGAACATGTTACAGACAAACCATGAAAAGCACTATTTTAAAAACCATAAAGTGAAGCATGAAAAATACAGCAAAGCAGTAAGTTCACATTGACCTCTGCTGGTGGTCTCTTTTCACTGATGGTTGCTAAAAGCAACAACTCTCCTATGTAACAACATCAAGGTGTTACATCATCTCTGTACTCCCCCCCTTTGTTGGCTATAAATGAGGGAAAAGGCAAACTCCAGTCCATTGCAAGTTCGATTTGTGTTGAAGCCTCTGGAATGGAATGGAACAGTGAGATTGATCTTAATGGAAGAGCTTTTTGAAACAAGCTTTGCTCATCTGGATTATCGTTGCGTTGCACTGTACAACGCAAGCTGCTCTGCGGACTTTCGCTTGAATTACAGCAATTTGATTCTGTTCCTGTTTATATCGGTGATGTCTGTGCTCACAGTGTGTGGTAACATGGTGGTGATTGCTTCTATTGCAGCTTTCAAGCAGCTCCACACACCAACTAACTTCATCATCTTCTCTCTGGCTGTGTCTGATTTTCTGGTTGGAGCGTTTGTGATGCCGATGCAGAGTCTTATGACTCTTGATATGTGTTTACAGCAAATGAAAAGCCTCTGCCCCATGTTTCACTTCATCAGCTCCATCGTCGGCTCTGTGTCTCTGTGCAACATTGTCTTCGCAGCCATAGATCACTATTTTGCCCTGTGGAATCCTTTCCTGTACACGGCAAAAGTGACTAAGAAGACTATGCAGATATGTATAAGCTGTGGATGGATTGCTTCCATCTTGTATAACGTGGCTCTTTATATTGGTAACTCAAAGGGGGAAAGAAAGCTGGTTTGTGTCCTTCAGTGTGCAGTGCCAGGCAATGATACATGGGGTCTTATTGATATTGTTTTCAGCTTCACTCTGCCATGTGCAGTAATAATAAGTCTGTATCTTTTAATTCTTAGAGTGGCTCTGCGACATGCAAGAGCCATTTCCACAATGCAGAAAACGGTGTCTGAAAAAAGGAAATCGTTTAGGAATTCACAGCTGAAAGCGAGCAAAACATTAGGGATTGTGGTTTTGGTGTATGTGGTGTGCTGGATCCCTGGATACACGACTCTTATCAATTTAGAAAATCTTCCAGACCCCACTCTGAGCATCACCTCCATGTTATGCCTTTTCTACAGTCATTCCTGCATGAATCCCTTCATTTATGCAATATCATACCCTTGGTTTAAAAAATCCCTGAAGCTCTTTTTCACACTGCACAAGCTGGCATGATGGCGTATATCTCAGTGCATGTAACTGAACATGCTGTAGATCACAGATCAAGAAAATTGTCTGTGATAATACAGGCCCACTAAATGCACCCAGACTGAAATGAAGTAGTGATGTTTCCTTTATTGATTTATGTTAGGATCCTCCTTGATTCCACATTTTCCAAGGGCCTCCACTTACGTCTACACTTCTGTTAGAGATTGTACACCCAAGTAAGCGCTGTATAAATAAGCTAATACTAAGTCACGGTTTTGAGATCAGTAAATAATGAGAGAAAGCAGCAGTAATATTTTATGTAATTGCATAATGAATTAAATGTCTTTTTTTCTGAAACAGTAAGTTCTTAGCAATTCCTGTTCCAGTATACAACTTTAGCATTCCTTTTCTGGCTGTGGCAAACTGGTTAGAGTGTGTTAAGCTTACTGTCACTTGCGTACATCACAGAAAAAAAAAAATCATTTCAATCACTTTCTGAATACAATTGTTTACACAGTGACCCCATATAATGGGGGGCTTATTGCAGGACACTGATATATAGCTGATATATAGCTTCCACATATGTGGCTAAAATGACCCCAAAAGCTTTGTGTGTGGTCTCCATGAGAGAATGTGCATCAATTACAGTCTGAGTCTTATTGATTTTCATTGTTCTATATGCGGTAATGACTCTGTCTAATGAACTGTATGTTCTTATTGTGTTCTTACTGTGGCCCTAAAGGACGAAAAAGCCAGTTCCATCACAGCAAAGAAAAACAAGCAATCACAGTTACTTCAGCCAACTTGTTCCCCTCCTTACATTTTACATGTATTTACTTTAAAAATAATTTTCAACAGACTTCATTACGTGGTTTCTGACAATGCATAATGTACAGTTGTCCATAAAAAATCCAATAAAAATACAATAGTACATCATATTTACCTTATAACAGTAGCTGCAGCCAAACGATGCTAATTAATGGCTACAAGCTTGCATTACTTGTTAGCAACATTAGCCTCAAAGATCTAGTTAAAAAGCAGTAAATCATACTTTGAACGCCAAACAAGTCCTGATCGATTTATACATTTGGGAAAAGAAGAAAATTGTATAAATGTTGGCCAAACAATTGCTTTAAGACTTCCTTTCCTTGGACATTATCTTTCCAAAGCTTTTTCACTAACCTCAATCTGTATAACTGGATTCTAGACTTTTTCACTAGAAAATGTTATTTGTCTGGGTGACAGCACTTTATTGCCGACTTGGCAAAAAAAAAATTGACTTCATGCAAACATCATAGCTTGTTCAATTATAATAAATACACATTTATACCTTAATGTCAACAAAAATGCAGCTTAAAAATAAGTAAATTAAAAACAGATGTTAACACCACACACCCGATCCAACTAATCAGCTCATTAGCAGCCTTTTTAGTTAAAGTGGGTGTGTTAAAGCAAGAAAAGCACTAAAATGTGCAGGACAGTGGGTCTTCAGGACCAGGGTTGAGAAGCACTGTCCCAAACAGGGTGGTTATTTCCTTGCCACTCATTCACTGATGGATTATGAAGGATTACTGAAGGACTGAATGACTTATGCTTGTGTGTGTGTTTTAGGCCAGTCATTTAAACTGCCCTATGGGATAAATAAAGATTTAAAGATGTTTTTGATCATTTTTTTTCAAAAATGTTCAACATTTGACCATTCAAAAAAAATGTATTAACCATCTCTTGGACCTCATTCACCAACCGTTCTGAAGAAGAACTTTCTTCTTAAAACCTACTTGCGCAGTTTTGATGACTCTGACTCACCAGTGTTTTCTTATCTGTGTTTTGTTCTTAGGTAAGAACAGAATCTACACACACTCAAGAGCACAAAGATGAGAACAGTTCTGTGCTTTAAGAACACATCATGGACCAGACGTAGACTTTTTCTTAGGACCTTTCTCAAGAACACACTTAAGAACAAACTTAGGAAGATGTTGTTGAATGAGGCCCGATATCTCATTTTTTACAGTTTATTTGCTGACAGGGGCTTAATTGACCTTACAGTGTGGAGCTTTTAGCACACAACTAGAAAACACACTGAATGTGGTTAACTAGCATCGATGGTAATGGCATTAGGACATTAATAGCATTCCCATGCTTTAATTTTCATCCATACTTTGCTTTAAATCTATGATTTGGGTAACAGGGTTGAGCTTTCAAAATGACCCCATTAGTACATATCACGATATCATTAAAAATAAAGCAAATATTATAAAAATTAATTATTTTCTTATTATCTTTCAGAAATTCAGATGAAGCAAATTCATATTGAACATGTTGACTTATGGAATATTCCAGATATTTCAAAAGGGTAAATAAGGTAAAACATTCTTAACCTATATATTTCCTTCAATAATGCATGATAAATATTTGAAGCGGTAAAAATTTCATGGATTTGCACATTAATGCAAAAAATAATATGATTTCTGAGATATTTTCATGGTTTATTTCAAGGTAAAGTGTAGCTGTAGTAGGCTGGGGCTGTTTGCTAAGTGCTGTAGTTAGATTTTGTTAATATGTGAAGTTCTGAAACATGCAGATAGTTTGTAACAAAGGAAACTTTAAAATGTCCTTTACCTTCACTTAATGTACACGTCTGTAAATGTAATATCGACAGGACGCAGATGGCTCCCCAATTGTGGAATCACCCAGAGCCTAACAAATTCAGTTCCAGTGCTGATACATCGAGGGTGGTCAACCCTGGTCTTGGAGATTGACCACCCTGCAGAGTTCTGCTCCAGACCTAACCAAACCCACCTTATCCAGGTAATGAAGGCTTTTAGGGGTATCTGAATATTAGACCTAGGTGTGTTGGATCTGGATTCTTCAGGGTGGTAGATCTCCTACTAGGACTGGGTACCCCTGGGCTCAGACGTGCAGAGGAACCTTAGAAGAACTCAGCCCCCACTTCTGCTTCTAGTTGAGCTAGGGGTGGGCAATATGGCAAAAATATCATGGCACTCAAAGACATTTCCATGATTCACAATATTCATAATAATAATAATACATCTACATCTGCGCAAAGTGCTTTGCACTAAATTCAGTTAAACAGGCCTAATTATGCTCACTTTGTACTGTGTACTTTATACTTTGTGCTCTTTAAGCATTGACGATATCCACAATATGATTGCTGTGTAGACCTGGATCAACCTGAATCTGATGATCCAGTTCTTCACAGCAACCATCGAGTCCATCCTCACATCATCCAAAACCATCTGGTTCGGTTCCTCCACCTCACAAGAACGAGCCAAACCCCAGCGCTTAATTAGGACAGCAGAGAGGATCATTGGACGTGGTCTGCCAACACTTAAGGACATCTACAACACCAGGGGGTGATGAAGAACACTGGCAAAATTACAGCTGACCCCTCTCATCCTGGACATCACCTCTTCCAGACACGTCCCTCCTCTGGTAGAAGATTCAGGACCATCAAAACCAGCACATCCACACATGCTGACAGCTTTTCTCACAGCGGACACCTCACACTGTAAACTTAAATTAAGCCAATAAACCTCTCTTACTGTATGACAGTATCACTCCCTCTGTAGGATAATGCTTATTTGCGCAACTTTTTACAAATATTTAAATATCACTGTATATATGTACTGTTTATTGCATATCTACTCAAACCTATATACATATATATATATATATATATATATATATATATATATATATATATATGGAGATATTCATGTCTGCATATGTACAGATATTCACACATCCCTTTAGCCCCTTTCACCTTGGCCTTTTATCATTGTGTTTATTGTATTTTATTTTATTTGTCTCTTAGTTAAATACTGGTTAACAGTCTGTGTGCCGGTCTGGTCTGTTAAGTGTGTTACATGGGTGCACTCACCAAGACTAATTCCTTTGTATGCGTAACTTGGCACACTGAAGGGATTCTGATGTGTAAATCTTTACGTTAAATACAAAACTAACTGCACATTTTACATTTACAGGATGATCTGCCAGAATATACAATTCCTCAGTGAACTGGGCTGAGCCCCAGATCTTTACATGCCCTGCCAACGCATCTTCCCATCTGCACCACTACAGAGTGGAGAAGGAAAAGGATTTCTCTGCTTGTTCATTTCCACCAGATGGGGAAAAATCTCAAAAATCTAGTTGTAGTCTTGCAAATAGTGACCCTGCAAAGTCCCCAGTCTTGTAAAACCATAGTCTGTTACAGAAACTCAGTGACATTGCCTTAATGCTAACCACACACTAGAAGACTTTGAAAAGACTTTTGAAAGACTAAAGTCTGACACCCTCTCACATCTAAAGACAGTGTCACGTTTTTTAGTCACAGAATATGATTTTGTAAAGACTAGGAATCTTGCAGTGTCACTATTTACAAGACTGCAACTAGATTTTTGAGATTATTCCCCATCATGCACCTGGTGGAAATTTAGAAGCAGATAAACCCTTTTCCTTGCACTCTGTAGGCGTACAGATGGGAAGACACGCTGGCTGGGTGTGTGAAGATCTGGGGCTCAGATTAGTTCACTATAGAGCCGTATATTTAGTTTACAATTTCTTTCCATGTGCAAGAACTCTCAACATCACTGCCACAGCACTTTACTGTGTGCAATATCTCAACCCACCATGCGTAGTATATTCACTGCGGATCACTGTCAATATGTTTACCACCATTATGTGCAATTATGTCAAGTGCAATATTTCTCCATTTATTTACTGTTTATTTATTTGCTATTTTATTCACTGTCCAACACTCACTACAATACATACATTTCTACATTTCTAAATTTAAATTTAATACTTTGTATATTTTTCTTGTAATTTTTGTACATATACATATATCTTTATTTTTTATTGTTTATTCTATTTTATGTATTGTTTGTATATTTCCTGCTGCTCTGTCTTCTGTGCTGCTGTAACACCGCAAATTTCCCCGTTGTGGGATTAATAAAGGATTATCTTATCTTATCTTATCATATACTCTGGCAGATCGTCACCCAGTATTTTAATTAACCTGTACTTTTTTAATTTGATATGAAGATTTACACATCAACACAACATGCAGCGAACAAAATAAGAAACCACTGTAAAAAAAAAAATAGAAAACAATTGATGATTCTTCAGTAATGGCGTTCTTAAAGTCCGTAACACATTTCCTCACGTGTTACAGGCTCAGTGAACCTGAAATATTAAAACAGTCAGTTTACATTTTAAGTTAATATGATTATTGTATTGAATTGCCGTTTTTACAGAGATTTCAGGCAGTCATGCCTGCATTCTCTCTCTCTCTCTCTCTCTCTCTCTCTCTCTCTCTCTCTCTCTATCGCGCCTGCAAGCACTCACGCGCGCCCCTGGCACGTCACTATTTGCATGAGCCAAGACTTAAAACTCACGATAATATTAAAGACGGTTGATTTTGTCGCGGCGTCAAGACGAGAAAAAGACTGACTTAAGACGGCCGTCCTGACCACCTTACACCAAACGATCGAGATGACGCGAGCGCGACGCGACTCTAAGACTCTCGTGATTTCATTCCGACATGGATATCTGTCTGCGTACGGAGCCCCGCTGGTGACATCCTGTATAAATACAAATAATACGTGGCCATGACTTAGTAAAGCGTGGGAATGAGATCCTAATGCGTGGCCACGACTTAGTAAGCCGTGATCTCGTTCCCACGCCTTACTAAGTCGTGGCCGCGACTTAATCATCTCATTCCCACGTCTTACTAAGTCGTGGCCATGCATTAGGATCTCGTTCCCACGCGTTAATAAGGCATGGCCACACATTATTTTTATTTATACAGGATGTCACCATGGGGGCTCCGTAGTCGTTTGGTGTAAGAGAGTGTCAGACTGCAGTCTTTTCAGAGTCTTCCATTGTATAGTAACTGCAGTTAGTCACTCTTTCACTGCAAACACGCTTCAGTCCCTTTGAGGAGAAGATTCAGCATTTTTTCTCTGTTCCCTTTCAGTTGTTTGCGTTTGGTGGTCCTAGCCAATCCTAGCGCAGGGGGGCGGGGCTTGCCGGAATACAGGTGGGAAAAGAAACCCTGCGTGTTCTCCTTGAGGCGGAAAGTCACTGAACGTCAACCAATCCCAACCGCACCGAGGCATCACATGACAGGCTCCGCTTCAGCCGTGAGGAAATCTGCTGTGGGCACTTTCGCTGCTACAAAGTCGAGGTAAAGCCTGAAAAGACACACTTTATTCCAGTCATTAAGGCCTAAGACGGTGCATGTTTGGGCTGGAGCAGCTTTAATTCGCAAATTATGACTGTCCGAAGCCGGAACACGTCAGAATTACTGTATGAAAACACTGGCGCCAGCGTTGCGCCGTAAGGCTGCGTGGACACTTCGCTCGGCTGTTTCATGTCGCTAAAATGTGGCTTAATGCATAAATGAGTGTGATTCGTGCTTTGTTTGGCTTCAGCGAAGGTGGCCTCTTACCTATAAGGACTGAAAGCTGTGTGTTGACCCACATACAGTCCACACTGTAGTCCATTTGGTGGACTAACAGTTCAGGGTGTGTTTGTTTCCGCATATTTTCGTTTTCCTTTAAGCTCAGCAGGTGCATTTGGTGAACGATGAAGCTCCAACACGTCAAGCTCTTGATGTCCTTTAGACGGAGGAATAAGGGCCTAAAGCTGTCATCCAGTAGAAATGCACCGACCGACCGCTTAGTTTCTGCACTCACTGTCCATTTAATCAGCGCGACTGACCATGTAGGAGCACTTTGTAGTGCTACGATTACAGACAGTGGTCCATCTGTTTCTCTGCATACTTTGTTACCTTGTTCTTTAATAGTCAGGACCCCCACAGTGGACGTGGTGGTGGTGTGTTAGGGTGTGTTGCGCTGGTGCGAGCGGATCAGACACAGCAGTGCTGCTGGAGTTTTTAAACACTGTGTCCACTCACTGTCCACTCTATTAGACACTCCTACCTTGTCAGTCCACCTTGTAGATGTAAAGTCAGAGACGATAGCTCATCTGCTGCTGCACAGTTTGTGTTGGTCATCCTCTAGTCCAGTGTTTTCTCAACCCTGATCCTGTGGGCCACTGTCCTGCTGTTTTTTTTTAGTGTTTTCTCTGCCACCAACACACCAGTGGGCAGTGGGCAGTGGGCCTCCAGGACCAGGGTTGAGAAACACTGCTCTAGTCCTTCATCAGTGGTCAAAGGACGCTGGTTGGTGGACTGTGCTCAGTTCAGCAGTGACACTGAGGTCTTTAAAAACTCCCAACAGCACTGTTGTGTCTGATCCACTCACACCAGTGCAACACACTAACACGCCACCACCACGTCGGTGTAACTGCAGTGCCGATGATCCACCACTCAAATAATACCTGCTCTGTGGTGGTCCTGTGGGGGTCCTGACCACTGAAGAAGGTTATGAACAAAGTATGCAGAAAAACAGATGAAGTACAAAGTGCTTCTATACGGTCAGTGGAGCTGATAAAATGGACAATGAGTGTAGATACAAGGAGGTGGTTTTAACGAAGTGGTGAAGTGGCTGGTCGGTGTACTGTTACTGCGTTGGAGTGATGACTCATGCAGACATAAAAAAAAGGATGACTGAAAATGTATCATGTCCAGAAACTCCTGTGGAGTGCCTGAGTCCTCTGAGAACTGCAGAACTGTGGTGGAGCTTCTCAGTACATCCTGCATCTATCAGCATAGGAACTGACCTGAACACCTGCCACAATTATACTTGAGTAGAAAGAGGCTGGGGACTTGACACTAATTCAGCTATGTTTAGAAAAAGAATGTGATAAAAATTCAAATTCAAGTACAAATCGTTCAAAATTGAGATCTGAGTAGCTGAAGTTGAGTGAATGTAACTAGTTACTACCCACTGCCAAAGTTTAGGAAGTGTATTTGTGTGAGTACAGTCTTAAAAATAAAGGTGCCAAAAAGGGTTATTTGCATAAAGCCATAGAAGAACCACTTTTGGTTCTCTAAAGAACCATTCAGTTGATTTTTTTTTAGAGAACCATTATTGTAAATAGAGGTAGGAGTGTGAAGAACCTTCACATCATGTCATGATTTTTTGTAAGAACCCTCAAGTTCATAAAGAGCCTTTACATTATGTGGAGGTTCTTTAAACCTTTCAAAATGTTCTTCTAAGGAATTGCTCAAAAAAACCCATTTGCAGCACTTAAGAATGTGAGACCAGCTAGTGTGCAGTGGCTGTGTGTTCTAAGAATGCCACCAATAAAGGAGAAGTAATTATTTTTTTTCCACAAAAATGCTTTCATGAAAGTGAAACTAATCTAAAGTGCCATATCTGAAATTTCTCTGCTCCATATGTGCTTCTGAGCCAAACTCAACAACATTGGATGGTGCAGTGAATTTGGCTTTTCTTTCTTGCTGTAACATCTGTACCATTTTCTGTTTGTAGTGGTGGAGGAGCTGAAAGGCCAGTTTGTTTATCACCATGTCGGGATCCAGAGACCCAAATCTGCTAGCTCAGACGATCGGCTCGAACATCCAGAATATAACGCAGCACAGTGAGTCGGATGTTTATCACTGACATTGAATTCGACTTTTAGTTAGTTAATTAAGCTTCTAGTTTTTAATAGTAAACAATACGCAATTCACCTTATTTATATGACCATTTTGCATCTCTTTTGTTCATCATATACACATCACAGAGGGTATATTATCAGCAGCTTTGGGAAAGTAGAGCAAAAGTTTGACTTTCTGAGTTCTGAAAGTGTCAAAAATGGGCAAATGGTCAGATATTTTCTTGTAGCTGCTGACTGACTAAGGGCCTTTTCACACTCAGCATTAATAACCAGTTTTGGTGATCGGATAATCAACTGATCAGGTCACATTTACACTTGGCCTTTTTAAAAGTAGCTTCTCCTTCCAGATATTGCATGGATTTCATTTTGGGCAATATTTAAATTTTCAAACAAGACAGGTGTGGTGCCAGAACAGAGTAGGCAGGCTGTGCACTGTTGGATCTAGTCAGCCCTCATCAGCACTTTTTCGGCTGATTGGGCATGTTGAATCAGCGCTGGTGGTCGTTTGCAAAAATAGCAAAGTTTTAGGACGAGGAGTAGAATTGAACTGTTTTTGCTATTCAAATATTAAAATGAATAATATGTGATTTTCATGTTATTAAGGAGACCATGTTTATTGTTGTGAATGTACACATATGGTGCTCTGATAGCGCACTAACAAAGCATAACATACTCAGTGATGTTAATGAGTTTTTAACTTTTTGTCATATAATTACAAACATATGACCATGCATTTATTTCACTGTGTAATCTGCAAACATTCACTTTTAAATAGCCTTTTTAGCTCCCAGTGCTGCTAACACCAGTGCTTTCCCTGTCACAGTTTGGGTTTAGTTAATAAGACATTCAGAAAGTATGTTCTTTACTTTGTACACTGCAGTTTTGGAGTTTTAGGCTATTGTCAACTGTTACTATAGGGATTTGTTCCTTTTGTGCAGGCACATTAAGTGTGTTGCTGTTGTCGAAAGAAAACCTTTTATCTCCAAATTGGCAAATTTTCAGGAAAAGGAAAAAACCTACTTTACTTTTAATGTAAGTCAGTGGAACCAGAGTTTTTTCCAAGTCATTTTGGGTCATTTCTTTTAGTCCATTCATCATGGAATTCACATACAATGTAAAGGGTAACAGGTATTTTCAAATTATGTCACAAACTGAAAAACGTCAAAAAATGGAGATACGAGGTTTTCTTCTGACAACGGCGATGTGCGTGTTGACTGTCAGCTGTAGGCTTTGTGGTGTGTGTGAGGAATGAGGAATCACAGATGAGTGGTGACAGTGAGCTGATGAAAGGTGATCATCAGTCATTCATAGTTGGCGCTGGTTCTTAAACTTTGGCAACCACAAAACAATCAAAAGAAAAATACATATCACAGTCAGGAGTGTTTGGAGAACCGTGTCCCATCCTTCATAGTGGGCAGATTGCTATTGTGTTTGAATACATGTGCAGACAGCTAAAAATAATTTGTTTAAATTATAAGAAAAACAGCAATGGTATTGAACAAGGTTGTAGCCAAGCTGGTCGCATTGCGTGTGCACACACAAATTACAATGCACGCTCAACTTCCTTTAGGATCAGGACAGCTAGATCTGATTACAATCAGAATCACAGTTACACTTGTCTCATAAATGCAACATCCAGATACAGGATGCATTTTAATGCCAAATGTAAGCAGGGCTTAATTAACACATTCCCACCCTATATATAACATAATGAGCAAAAACTATTGCGATGTAAATAGGGTGACTTGGACTGAATGAAGATGTCCAGTAGTGATTTTTGTGTTTGTGTTGCTTGTCATAATATTTTCCCTTTATTTCCACCAGCATCTGAAATCCAGAGAATAGTGACCCAACTCGGAACAGACAAGGACACAACAGAGCTCCGACAGAGACTGTGAGTAAAGCCAGGGCCTGAAAATATGCACTGTGCCCACAGTCTCTCATTATTCAATAAAACATGTCAATGTTTACATCTGTAAACTAATACAGTGTTTGTCTGTTGTCACGTGCGCACACAGGCAGCAGAAACAGCAGCATGTCAACCACCTGGCTAAAGAAACGGATAAGTGCATGAAGGAGTTCACCTCTTTACCTGTGACAGCTGATCAGGTAGCGTGCTCCGTTCAAGTTCAACTTTAAACAGTTTACATGCCCACCAGACTGTCACTGTAAGACTTGATCATGTAAACAGCGCAGTTCGATTGTTATAGTCCGACTAAGATCTTTTTTAGGTTTTAGCTTAATTATAATAATCGATGCGGTCTAGACCAACTTTGGCTGGACGTTTGAGATAGATTTGGATGTAAACATTAAGATCACTCCACTGTCTGTGATTTATGACACCGAACATGAGCGATAAAAGGTTAAATGCCTACCCTTTTGAGGGGAGGAAGAACATTCTGTCAGATACAGAAGTCATTAGAAATTTGAATATAAAGAAAAAAGGGAACGTTTTTCAGTGTGAAAAAGTGAACTGCATCATAATAAGGTTGTTTACCACTGAAAAGTCAGACTATGCTGGCATGCATGTAAACTGGACTGTAAATGGACCAGTCTTTTACACAGCTCTTGTAAATGTTATTGTTTGGTCCAGTTTCTTTCACTAAGAGTTTAGTTGGTCTATCAATAATATGCGTCTGGTACTTGACTGATCCCGGACACAGACTGAGAGAAAGGGCTAGTCTAGGACTACATTATAGCACAAATGTTGAATCACCGACTGGAAATTCATTTTAGTCTAGGCTTGGGCCTAATCTGGGTCTGGGACACTGGCCCTAATATATAAAAACACATCTTTACAGTTAAGTGTAAGGACGTGAAAAGGGCATGTTTCACATGCAAACGTTTGAAAACCACCGAGTTACAACGTGTTATTGATTTTTTTTTTTAAAGTGAAAATAAGTTAATGCACCCTCTACTGAGGACACACCTAAATATATACAAAATAATGTATAGCAATATTTTTCTGCTAATTTTAATGCACAATTTCTGTTTATTCTGTGCCAAAACTTTTATGTTGGCCACACTTTATGTTTCAATATGTTAGATTCAGGAAATAAACAGTAACTGTGTATTAGAAAGTTTTAGCACCTCAGTCAAAAGATGTTTTGTTAATTTTTTTTTTTTTTTTCTCTCCCCCAAGTGAGAAAAACAACAAAACATCATTTGACTGGGGTGCTAAATCTTTTGCATACGACTGTTAGACAGTGAGAGTATGGCTCTAAGATGTAGCCATCACATTAGTTTGATAATGCAGACTGAAAGGCAGGCCTGAGAAGTTTGTCGTGATTGATAGTAGCCCTTAGATGAGCTAACATTTGGCTAACATTTAAAAAAAAAAAAGTTATTTTATCTGTAACCCTTTTCACCTGCAGCGCCAAAGAAAGATACAGCGAGAACGGCTTGTCAGCGACTTCTCCAATGCGCTGGCAATTTTCCAGAAAGTTCAAAGACAGGCGGCGGAGAAGCAGAAAGAGTTTGTGGCCAGAGTTCGTGCCAACTCAAGAGTTTCGGTAAGGAGAGTTTGGGGTGATCAGTGTTCAGTATTAGAATCTGAGAAGTGAGAACTGAGAAGTGTAAAGTTTCATGGTTAAAGTAATAATAATAATGTGTTAAGTTTGAAATATTGCTCCAGCAGGAAAGGCTTATGTTTAATAGGGGAGATTACAACTTAATTATATTTGATTATGACACTAAATTGCTTTAACCAGTCAACACGCCACATTACAGCTTACTTAGGTGGAGTGACCCATTTTCCTTGGGTGTTATGGTCATGTGACTTGCCTTAACATGCAACACTCCTCTTGTCCACAGGGTGGCTTTGCTGATGATGCATTTGGAGGAAGGGCTTCATCTTTTGAGAGGTCATTGGCACAAGCAGTACAGCAAAGAACCTTCTGTCACCAAAACATTTACTTTTTTGACACATCACAGAATTCCAGAGTATCTAGAGATGTAACACATTCAAAGAACTCAAAAAGATATGCAGCGTTTTCCGTTAATCTCTTTTCTTTGGTAGTTTTACTATAACACATATGCAAAGTGCACATTTGTATATAAACAAAATGCCTTTACAGTTTCTTTTCTTGGTGTCTATCATTTGATTTGAGAATTGTGGATTGTTTCTGGCTTTTGATTTTCTGGCTCAGTCTCTTTATCTCCTTCTCTGTAGTGAGAGCCAAGCTCAGAAACAGAGTTTTGACGATGGCATCACTGAGGAAGATCTGCATCTCATCCAAGAGAGAGAGACAGCCATTAGACAGCTGGAGGTGAGGCAGTTATACCAGTGATATGAGATGGAATGAGAAATAGGCCCCACAGACCATTTAAAATTAATACTTAAACTCTTGAAAGCGAGGCTTACTTTTCAGTCTTTAATTGTCTTAAAGAGGAATTTCAGATGGTGATAGGAACCAGGGGTCGCCATGACTACAACACAAATATAGACATTTTATTTACTATCCAAAACCACCAGTGAACCTACACGAGTCTTCTTGGTTTATATGGAATGTTGATGATGGAAAATAGTGGAAAATCTGAAAAAAAATGCTTCGTGTTTGGGCTTTATTTTACCTCAGAATGGCTGGCATGTACTCCTCCATCATGAATGGATTTTTCAAAAGAACATTTTTGGACAGTACCTTCTCAATACTATTGTAAAACGATGTCAGACCGTGTGTTCATAACCATTTCATGTAGTAACTTTGTGTGAGGGAGCTTTTAAAGCCACATGTTTCCATCTTAGCCATTTAATTAAGCAGAAATTGATGGAATTCCCCTTTAAGACTTTTTGTTAAGTAGCAACAATGAATTGATCTGTATTTATTATGCAATTATGGATTATGTAAGTTCTGTAGTTATGAGAGTGAGGAGATAAGGTGTGGATCCACATATGGACGCTTACGGTTTAAGGGTTTTTTCCTAACCCAAAAAGGTCCATTAATTGAAACAGATGAACAGCTGAGATCAGAATCTACACATTCTGTCTTTGTATAAAAAATGAAAAGATTAGGGTCACAATTATACATCTGTCCCTTAATGTTGCAGGTAATTATAAACAAAATCCTGTGAAAGGAATGAGAGCCTAGATAGGCTATTAACTGTTTACCGGATAATAGATCAACTATAGTATCATTTTTTTTTTTTAACTTAAAAATCAAGATATTTTCCTCCAATTAGGAATCCATAACTGGGGGTAAAATGCTGTAGTGTCTGCTTTGCCTAAGGAATTGTGTGATGTTTTTCAGTCGGATATCACTGACATCAATGAAATCTTCAAAGACCTGGCAGTTATGGTGCATGAACAGGGAGACATGATTGGTAAGAACTATTAAAGCCTTTTCCAGTTTTTAACATCTCAGTTATCCGCTTGTATCTCCCTTTATTGCATGCACACATGCACACATTAGCTGCAGTGTTTCTGTGTTACCTCAGCATGCACACACGCATATCAGGCCTGATATCAGACTCAGGGCTTTACTGCTTATTCCCAAAGTACACAGCACTCAACCATTATGGGTCTACTAAGAATAGATGATAAGGCCTCTGGGCCTAATCTGACATGTACAGGTAACAACACATAATCTAGCAGAACAAGCCTGTGATATGGAATCAAAGTCCAGTGATTAGGATCTGTTTTATTGTTGCACATAGATTCAAAAGCCTAGTGGCATCTAATCTGGTTATTTTAGATCTGGCCTTAACAGCATATACTCTGATATTTCTGAACAAGCACTTGAATACTAGTTCTCAAAGTCACCCTAAAAACATAATATTTTATGCAATTTTTTGTCATCCGTCTGAATGAACAGGTGCATATCTATTTTTGGTTGTGCTAGACAGACGTTTTGACGGACTTAGGGCTTTTTTCACTTCCGTGCAATTGAGGTTTAAACTCTACACGAAGCCATAAGGCCAAGAAGTGATGCACTCACTCTAGAGTTTTGTTACAACAAGCTGATTTACTGTTAAGTTTTAAAGCTGCTATGAAACTATTTATTCAGAAAAGAAAGGGAGGGAAAAAACCTCACGTGATGGAGCCGAGTCAGAGCCAGTGTAGATTGGACGCATGGTGGTGCTCGGAAAAAGGATTGCTGTACTTGAGTATTAGAGATAATTCATCATTACGATATCATTCGATAATGTAAAAAATTCTGCCACACAATTCTTTCTTAGCTCTTTTAGTTCTGCTGTTTTGTTGCACACTGAGGCAAAGTGACGTGGATGCCTAAACCTAAACCAGCTATAGTTTATTTATTTTTAACATCTTCCATATCGTCACTGTCCAAAGAAAAACAAGGATCTCTAAAATTGTAACTTTACAGGAGAAGGGAAAAACCCTCTTACCTTTCAATTTAATATAAAGAGATTTTAGAGCATTTCTATTGGTCCATTCATCATTACATTTTTATACAACATAAAGGACTGCTGGTGTGTCCTTGATGTAGAAAAATAAAAATTGAGAAAAATGGAAATACAGTGTTTTCTTCGGACAGTGACGACGTATTAACATTAAAATTTCTATCAGAAGGCCTTGGATGATGATACTTTTTTAGGCTAAATTTTTTGTGGCTTAGAAAAGGATGAAGCCATGGAATACTAAAAACCAAGATAACAAATAAATACTTAAGTATTAGAGTTATTTGGGCCGGCCTTAGGTTAGTTTATTGAAATTCAGTAGTTTTTATTGTATGTTATATGGATTTGCAGTGTCATTCAGCAAAAGGCCCCTTTTACATTTTATTAACTTCTACACACACCTGCACTTTGGCACCATAACGATGGCATAACAGCGCCCCCCTACATCTCTGATGATCTGCTTTAGTTAAACTTTCACACTTAAGTCCCAGATGTATTAAAATGCATTCATCTAATGAAAGCAGGAAGCCCAGGGAAGTTACTGGTGCAAAAAACAAGCACGACATGAAGCCGTTGGTGTTAACAGTTGAACTGATGCAACCCCGCAGACAGAGAAGAGCAATCAAAGGTGTTAAAAGGGCCAGCACTCTTAATGAAGTCCTCTGGGACTAGCTCATGCAGTCACAGTGGAAATGTTTGTTTATCCACTAAACGTTGAATGTCAAAGCAGCAGGCCTCGTCGTGCAGGTTTGAGTGTAAGCATTGCTGGAGTTAGTAAACCGTTTGGAGGTCATCTGTCATGTTGCAGTACATAATTTTGTAGTATTTGGTTTACTGGCCAAACATCCAGACGAGGGCCATGAATATACCTTTACATTTACAGTGACAGCACTGAGAATGCAGAAGAGAAACTGGCACACAGGAAATCTATATATATATACAACATCAGAATCTCAGTCACTCTAAGAGTAAGTTAACTGAGTTATAGGCTTAAAAATGAACCCATTAGACAAAACCTAATGAAAAACACCTGAGTAGAGAGCAGATGACAATGCCTAAATCGGTGTGATTGTTTCCTCACACAGTTCTGTCAGTATGTTAATATGCTATGAATCCTAACCGAAAAGGTCACGTTCTTGTTTTTCTTCCTGGCAGTTGTTGTAGGCAGAGAGAAGGCCAGATACGTGCCAACCTGTCTGAACAGAGTTGTAGGTCTTACCTCATAGACCCCATTCTGAGATGTTTATTAAAGTTCTTCTCCCTTTCCAATCACTCTCCACAGACAGCATAGAGGCCAATGTAGAAAACGCAGAGGTGAATGTACAGTCTGCCACGCAGCAGCTGGCCAGGGCTGCCACTTATCAGGTAAAACCAACATGCTTTTTACAACAGTTTGTATAGTAATTGAAGAATGTAGATGAAGTACATTTTTTATTTTACTTACATAATTCATCACACACTCACTAGCCACTTCATTAGAAGCACCCCCCCTTGTACTTCCACTTTCTGGCTACCTTATTGGAAACACTTAGCTTGTGCTTCCAATTACTGGCCACATTAGAAACACCTAGTTGTAGTTGCACGCACTGGCCATTTTATTAGAAACACACCTGCCTTGTACCTGCACTCACCTCACCACTTGATTAGAAACACCTACCTTATAGCCCCACTGTGTTACAGTTTCTGACTACAGGGCTGCTGCTGTGCAGATATTATGTCGGTGGGGGTCCTATCTCAGCATTGACCCTGGCATGGTAGTTTGTGTGGTGCTGGCACGAGTGTATCAGACTAACTATATATATGCTAACTATATGCTAGAAGACTCTGAAAAGACTTTTAAAAGACTGAAGTCTGACACCCTCTCAGTTCTAAAGACAACATGCAGAGTTTTTAGTCACAGACTATGATTTTGTGAAGACTGGGGATCTTGCAGGGTCACTATTTGCAAGACTGCAACTAGATTTTTGAGATTATTTCCCATCATGTACCTGGTGGAAATTTACAAGCAGAGAAACCCTTTTCCTTCTCGGCTCTGTAGTGGTACAAATGGGAAGACACGCCGGCTGGGAATGCTCAGGCCAGTTCACTGTAGAATTGTATATTCTGGCAGATCAGCACCCAGTATTTTTTAAATTAATCATTTTTACACTAGCAATGTCTACCCACAATTACATTCATTCTGTTCAGTCCTTTTTGAAAAGACTGAATGCCACTTTAGAATGAAGGTATGACATGCATGGAGTCAACAGTAGAATTAGGATAAGATAAAGTCTGTGCCTTTAGGCTTAGAATATATAGCAGACACATATAGGGTCAGTCTCCTGAACAGGGATTAGGCCTAACCTTGGACTACACAGCTTTCTGAATGGTGATTCTGCATTAAAAGAAAAAATGGGTAACACTTTCTATGAGTGTCACTTTTGTAAGCATCTATAAACACATTTATAACATGTTGTAATGTATTCATAGGCATTATAAACGTGGTTATAAATATTTATAAAAAAAGAATTACACTGAATTACACTTTATAGCCATGTTTATTATACATTATGAATTGTTAATATAATGCATTATAAATAGTGTTAATAACATGTTATAATGTCAGTGCCAAAGAAGTCAGTTCCAGCTTGGAGATCGTAAAGTAAAGACAAATACCAAGCTAACGGTGGTGAACATTACCTTTCCCACATTGGGTAAAACACTGATGGCAGCTCTAGTTTAAACTCTGACATTTGAAGCCTGTAATGAGCTTTACTGTGAATGTTTTAGTGTTTCAGTAAATACTTCAGTAAATACTTCAACTTGAAGCCTCACTCTGAACACTGGAGGAGGCTTTAGTACAGTACGCTTCACTTTACTTAGAGCGGACAAATACGACTTATGAGCTCTTATAATTTGCTATGATCAGTACTTATAATGCATTATGTTAACAATTCATAATGTATAATAATCATGGCTATAACGTATAATGCATTTTTATAAATATTTATAGCTATGTTTATAATGTCTTATGAATGCATTATAACATGTTATGAATGTGTTTATAGATGCTTACAAAGGTGAAAGTGTTACCAAAAAATGTAGTCCAAGACTAGGATTGACTCCTGTCTGGTAAACTGACCACAGGGTCACTTTTCTAGACACAAATTAAGTGTTTAGATTGGGTTTTTTCCTGCACCTGACAAGTAGTTACAGACTCCTCATTACTATTTAAAGACAGCAAAGAAAGGAGGCAACACTCTATCATAAAAGCAGGGAGGGTATTTTAAACACTGGTATTTGTCCACCATCATGTGTTAATGTTAGATGACTTCTGCAGTTACCAGTCTTTCTCTTGACTGAACCAGGGTGTACCATGCTCCTGTGATTAGTATTAGAAATGAGCCTTAGGAAAGGTGTGTTAATCACCAGTTCTAATTTCCACAGCAAAAATCTCGCAAGAAAATCTGCATCCTGATCATCGTACTAGTGGTGCTGGCTGTGATCGTGGGCCTGATCATCTGGGGCTCGATCAAAGGATAAGATGCTTCACTCACCTGGATCTTCACAGGTGACTACTGACATGCCTTCCAGTTGGAGGATGAGGAGAAAAGCACTATATATGTATAAGATTGGCCAAAGGGGCCTGTTTTTCGCGCATAGACCAAATCTTGGACTAAATTACACTGTCATTGGGAATCGTCATGATCAATATGTGCCATTGAATCACCACAAAGTGACATTAAGGTTCAGTCAGTTAAAACAAACTCCATATGGAGCAGTTTAGTTAAAACTTTTTTAGCAGATGAATCAGAATTTTCATGCCCTCCATTCTGTAAACTCACATTGTTCTTATGAAAGAGCAAAATGAGACTCTCCTTCATGCAAATGTCACTAATAACGAATGAAAGGTAGCAACCTTCAGTTAGCGGTGTGCAGGTTATATCATGCTAATTGGAGGATTTTAGATTGACTCTTTTATTAGCCTTGTTAGCATTACAATCGATCATTTCTTTTAATTATATTCAATGAGTAATCAAAATCACTAAGTTAACGCTGCTGTCCTTTTGGAGAGCCAGGTCTGAATGTAGGATAGTGGTGAGTTCCACCATTTTTCCCTGCCAAAAGTCAAAGCTTGGCTTTGATTTGGATAGTTTCACGGTTAACATGATGGGAGCCTTTAACATTTGTTTAGATGATGACTTTAATTTCATAGACTTCCATTGTGTGAAAAAGAAACTTCATGTACGTTGAAGGAACAGCTTAAGTGCTGTATATTTGCTTTGCAAAGTAGCCATGCTCTGCTTAACCTACAGAGAGCATCTGTATCTGTGTTTGTTTTCTCGCGTTACTAATTTAAAAATTAATAATTAATAGGAATCGATTAGTTACTATTTGCTTTTTTATGCAATTGGCAAGTGCATTTTCATTCTGCTGTACAATGGTGGTAAAAGTCTTTTGGCTGTTCTGTGTCAAACTGATCGTCTCCAATCCAGTTTTTGACAGCACTTTTTCAGACACTCCCCAGAAATATGGGGATATATTTTCAAACCCATAGTAGATAATATCTTGGTCTTGCCAGAATTGTCAAAAAAACTGAAGCTGCAGAGGTTGGAAATTAATTACTATTTGAATCTGTCCAATTGTCATTCAGTCTTGACCTCTGCCAACCTTCATGTTATAGGGAGCTTCCATTATTAATATACTAATCATTGTCCAGCACTGCCTTGTGAAGGGAGTTCATTTTGACTATACAGGGCATGCAGGCTTAATTAATATAAAGCATCTGATCTGTTTTAACTTATTTCACTTATTGTTACCTTACCATGTTGTCAGTGTGGTCACCATTATTGGCAGTTCACTTGCGGTAAACAGTCCATGCATTCACTATGCAACACTAGTTTTAATGTAGCATTTCAGCAGATATCATAACTGTGTTTATGGCCAAATCTGATGCTTGTCTGAACATCTCTAAACCAGAAATCGGCACTGAGTCTGGTCTTTTCCACTCTTAATTGGGTCACAGTCATTGGCCTTCCGGAAAATGTAAGCAGTTAGCTTTTTGAAAGACTGAAGGAGTCGGAGTGCCAAGGTTTGTGAATATCTAGAAAATGAAGTGCCATTTAAAAAAGCATTCCAGTTTTACATTAGTCATTGTGTTGCCTTGCCAAAAAGACAGTACACAGGCTTAGGGGAGAGAGTCAGATCTGAGAGTTGTAATGATAATTTTATTCTGTGATACAAACACATTTCTGGAAAGTTATTGTGCCTTTGTTGTTTTTTTTTAAGAAATTCAGCGTGCATTTCTTTATGTCAAAGACACGTCTGCAGCTTTCCTGCTAGCTTTTTTTGTTCTCCGGCAGGTTCTGGTTTTAACTGTAACAACTTGCATCAAATTGTGGATTTAGGGTAGAATTAATTCATCTCTCTTCATTAGCTTCACTTCAGATCTCGTCAGTTTCTAGTTTTAATTTTGCAGTTTATTCTTTTTTTTTTTAATTTTATAAAATGTAATCACATAATAATATGCAGCCTTATTAAGAAAAAAATGTATTTGAATCAGAGCATAATTTTCCATGCTTTGTTTAATAAATATGATTTTAAATGTTTCATCTCTTTGTGTAATATGCCATCAAAACATATGTAGTGTTGAAAATGAAATGAAGTTCTAGCTATCAGAAACACTTTTTAATGTTTGTGTTGCAAAGACTAATCTAGAAGCAATAAAACGCTCCCTGTCAATTTTTACTTTTGTTTGCAAAAGTTTCCATACTTTTTTGGACAGTGTTACAATTGACAGGTCCACCTTTGGCCTGAAAAAAATATTAATGCCTTGTTCAACAATTTCTGTTCATTGTTCATTTTGGATGTGCATAAATTTTACTCTCTGATTTGTTCTAACGCCTGGATTTTTTTCAGACTTTTTTCACAATCACACTCACCCATCTGGCTGAAAGACTGTATAATGTGACCTAATGTTTCTTGCCAACATAACCTACTTCCTTTTTTTTTTTTTACATACAATAAATGGCACCATACACCAAACTTTTTAAAAAGATGGTTCTTCAAGGGTTCTTTAGTAAAAGGAATGGTTCTATGTAGAACTGTGAGTTCTATGTAGAACCATTTCATCCTTCAATGGTTCTTCTGATTGCTGGAGAATGTTTCTTTCAAAAAGGTTCTATATAGAACCATATTCAACATATTCCCCATCTTTCTGAAGAAGCATTTCACCATGCAAATAAGCATTTAATCATTAAATGATTCTATATAAAACTCATGGCTCTAAAGACGATTCAAAAAGATTCATCCAATTTCAAAGCGCCATATTTTACAACCCTGAGGTGCCTAGGAACCAATCACATTCCAATTGAAAGAGGGGGTCATAGAGTTTCTGACTGTCAGTGGAAGATGGATCCCTTCAGTCTGCAAAGAGATGCAACCCCTGAGCAGAAAGCGTTCTGCGTTCTCCACTTTAATAAGAGTGAATCCGTCATAACCGTGCAGTGTGATTTTCGTGGGCAGTGAAGCTCCAACAGCTCAGAGCGTTCGTCGTTGGTTCCACAACACTGGATGATCTCTGAAATCGCACTGAAAGAGCCGTGAGTGCAGCGACACCCGACATGCTCAATCCAGTATGGGATGAGTTTGACTATGGCGTTGATGTTGTCTGTACAGCTGGAGGAGGTTCATACTGAGACCTTGTACAATTACATAATAAACTTTATTCTTACTTAAAGTTTACAGTTCACTGCATTGATCTGTAATGATTTACAAGTGAAATAATGATGAATCAGAACTAAACAGAACTACTACTTTTAGAATATATATAAATATGTTTTATTTATATGTTCCTGTTATTTTTTTCTAAATGGGTGTCATTTTGCAGGGCACTGACTTTGAAAGACTGCATTGTGTGGTATGTGAACAGGCACTGTGGACATACAGCGAATTTGAGGACTGTGTTTATGACCTAGTGCAGCAAAAAATTACTCAAGTGTGCAGCAACATTCGGCACTTGTTTCCTCACATTAAAAATCTCTCAGTTCCACGCAGACCTATCAGTGCTGGTGTACAGAGGAAGTAAATCTAACGCACTGCGTATGTCAAAATCCACATGTGGAAACTGAACAACTGGTCCTCCATCCAGTGATGCAACAAACCATTGGATATTTTAGAACAAACAATGCAGGGTTTGGAGTTCGGGGGGGCCATGCACACCACATCTAACAAACACCACTACATTTGCTTATAAGATATACTTTTGCTTGGAAACTTGTTAGTTGAAGTAAACTACTGGCTTTACATTTGCATTTGGTCCCATCATTGAGTTCCACTCAGCCAAGTTGCACAGTTTGCACTTGAATGTCATATCCTGACAACACAAATTGTCTCCATGGGGCCATGGACTTGGTCACGCTACTGCAAATGAGGGGCTTGTGGGGGCTATCAGTTGCATTTGTCGCATTCTGTTTCACACTGGGGCTATACTGGAACTGAAATCTACAAATTGCTTATTTGTTTTCCTGTTAGTCTAATACTATGAAACAGAGATGAGATCTGTCTTTTACTTATAAGCCGTCTATGATCAGTGCCCCTTAATGAACACTAGTCTGTGAGATCTTTTCATGCTTCCTCATGTCGTGGGCTGGAGGTTAGGGAGCCAGCCTTGTGACCTGAAGGTCGCCGGTTCAATCCCTTGAGCCGACAGCACGTGATTGAAGTGCCTTTGAGCAAGATGCCTAACCCCTAACTGCTCCTCAGGCGCTGTGGATTGGGCTGCCCAACACTCCGGGCAGGTGTGCTCACTGCCCCCTAGTGTGTGTGTTCACTAGTTTGTATGTGGTGTTTCACTGCACGGAGGGGTTAAATGCGGAGGTGAAATTTCCCCATTGTGGGACTAATAAGGGTCACTTGTCTCTTTTCAATCCTATTGGGTTCCAGCACCTAGAAAAACTTCTGAGAAGTGCTGTCATTTGTAATTGTATTCCCCACATGCTGCAGATCACAATGATGGCATGATCAGCAGAATGTCATTAAGGTGTATCTTGGGGGCGGAGCAGAAATACAAAACGTATAAATGTGAGATCCCAGTATGGGTGGTAGTGAAAGTATTCCTGGCTGGTTGGAAATATATTTGTGTGCTGCCACTCGAAGAGGACCACGCGTCCATTGAGATCGACCCAATTTTGAAACTGTCCGGTTCATAACTGTGCTGGACCAATGAATGCTACAGAGGTTAACCAAACGGATCACTGCCTGCAGTTTTCCTGTCCAGAGAGATCTGTATCTACTGCAGTGTATGTGGTGTTGTATGTGTCTGCAGCTGCTGTAGTTCTGCTAACAGTGTGCGGAAACCTGCTTGTTATAATCTCTGTTTGTCACTTTAAGCAGCTCCACACACCGACTAACATGCTCATCCTCTCTCTGGCTGTGTCAGACTTTCTGGTCGGGCTTTTTGTGATGCCATTGCATTTCATGTGGTTGATTGAATCGTGTTGGATTTTCGGACACGTTTTTTGTGTCCTGTTTAACTTTGTCAGTTTTCAGTTAACCAGTGTCTCTGTGGGCAATGTCGCTCTCATTGCTCTGGATCGTTATGTTGCTCTTAGTCACCCATTTATTTACTCAAAGGACATTACATCAACAATCATTCACACTGTAATATCGTTGACGTGGTTGTTTTCCTTATTATACAACTTTGCAATGTTTTATGTCGGTGGAAACTTCACAGATTTAGTCATGTGCCCTGGAGAGTGTCTCTATTATCTGGGTGAAACAAACTCCTTAGTTGACCTGCTCTTCGTAGTCATTGTTCCGTGCACTCTAATGGTAATTTTGTATGTACAGGTGTTTGTCATTGCTAGGAGACACGCAAATGCTATAAGAGAACTCAATCATAACATCAAAAGCATTTCCAAAATGAACTCAGACTCCATGAGATCTGAGAGAAAAGCTGCCAAAGTTCTTGGTATTCTGGTGATTGTGTTCCTGGTGTGTTTAGTTCCGTACTATGTCTGTAGTTTAATGACTGATGCAATCGGAACTGACTCCTCATACCTCGTGATAAATAACATTTTGATCCTCTTTTATCTCAATTCTTCCATAAATCCGGTGATCTATGCCTTGTTTTACTCATGGTTCCAGAGGTGCATGAAGATGATTCTGACTTGCAAAATACTGCACACAGACTGCTCTTTTGTAAATGTGCTGGGAATAAACAGCTGACTGCAGGAAAAAGTTGGGCATTTTCATTTACTGTTTACAAAGCAAAATTAATGTATACCCAGATGCAGTAATGGTGATAATGCTCACAAGTAATGACAGAAGTCCATGTGTCCTTTTTTCAGCGCATGTGTTGATTACTATTACAGATGTGTGAGCATGAAACAAAGACTTCCATTTCTTTTTGCCACATTTACTTGTGTTAAAAATGTGGATCAGAATAAGTGCCAACGTTACAGTCCTTGTGTGGTCCTTAGTGTGGTCTACTACTGTGGCCTCTTTTCTCTAGTTGTGTGAGGATGATGCTAAATGTGAACACGACCATTCTAAAAGTTCCTGTGAACGATTATAACACATCTATAAACAAAATGTGTCTAAATCCTTCCTACCGGTGGCCTCTATGTGAGTCACAAATCATCTAAAAAGAAACATGAAGGCGTGCCTCTTCTGCATAAATAATTTAGTGCTCACACCACCATTTATTTGCCATTTAGGAGGCATAATATGCCTTTATGCAATAATATAGTAAGTTATTTTGTAGAAAAATAATAGATTACAAATTGAAACAAAGTTTTTCCGCAAATTTTAATGCACAGTAATGCACCTGAACACAAGTCCCTACTTTTCCCTAATAGGGAAGTCATATTCAAAAGTCATTTTCTATGTTTTGTTGAACACATCCCTGTAGAAAGCACACTTCTCCACATTTTAATATACAGTGGGTGTTTATTTGCAAACAGTACTGGGACATTACACACCACTTAAGGAAACATGAATAGAGCAAAATACTGAAAAATATTAGAGAAGAATTTAATCTCATCAGAAATAGAACCTGGGGCTCCCGAGTGGCGCAACCGTCTAAGCGTTGGCCCTATCATCAGGAGATTGCGAGTTCGATCCCTGGTGATGCTACAGCCGTCCGTAGCCGGGAGTCCGAGAGAGCACAATTGGCCTCGCTCTCTCTGGGTGGGTAGGATGGCCCCTCCCTCTCCCCCCATCACTCAGCGCGATGCTAGTCAGCGCAGGCGTCTGTTAGCTGACGTAACAGATCTGGCGGTTGGCGCTTTCCTCCGAGCGCGTTCGGCTGTCCAATGACGTTGCGTGAGCGGCAGCTCGAAAAGAAGCGGTGGTTGGCTTCACAGGTCTCAGAGGAAGCCTGTGTTAGCCTTCACCCTCCTAGCGTTGATAGCATCGTGTGATTGGGGGAGTCCTAACTAGCGGGTGGAATTGGAGACGACTAAATTGGGGAGAAAATCGGGTAAGAAATAGAACCTGGAGAGAAGATGGACCTTTCAAACGAGGTGCAAAATATACAGCCGTGCAAAATATACAGCCAAACAAAAGGTTAAAGGCGCTTACATGGCCTGGCCAATCTTCAGACTTGAATTCCATTGAAGGTTTATGGAGGATTTTATAATTCTTCGCTGAATCATACACATACATACATACATACATTATCTAAACCGCTTATCCTTCTGGGTCGCGATGGGGTGCTGTAGCCTATCCCAGCTGTCATTGGGCGGAAGGCAGGATACACCCTGGACAGGTCGCCAGTCCATCACAGGGCCCGAATCATACACAGTCAAAGCTAATTAACAGCTTTGTAATGAAGCATCTTTTTTTTTTCTTATCAATTTCATTTTTAAATATGTTTTATGCTTTTGAATACATGTTTCCTCTTGCTGTATATTTTGTTTATGACCAAATTGGGGCACAAGACCAAGGTGATAGAGTGATGTGATGTAGAATGATCTTCAGCAGATCCTACATGCGTCAAAACCTCAACTATCGTTCCAGTCCAATAAAATAAACATTATTGGACTTACTGACTACAGGCCAGTAGCCCTGACCGCCGTAGTCATGAAGGTCTTTGAACGCCTGGTCCTAGCCCATCTGAAGGCCATTACAAACCCTCTGCACAATCCCCTGTAGTTGATGTTTTAATATCATAGTGCCAGAGCTGCTCTCCTAGCTGTCTGTGCCAGATCCCATCTACCAGTGGACTGTGGATTTCCTGACAATCAGGAGACAGCAGGTGCGGAGAGGAAAACACACGTCAGACTCGGACTCAGAAATGAAGTTCCACAAAGTTGCTTGCTCTCACCCCTCCTCTTTAGTCCCTACACCAATGACTGCATCTCCTAAGAACCAGCTGTGGAGATCCTGAAGTTTGCAGACGACACCTCCATGGTGGGCCTCATGGCCCATGGTGATGAGTCTGGTTACATAAAGGAAGTCGGCAGCTGGTGTCCTGGTGCAGCAGCAAACACTTGCTTCTTAACACACTAAAGGCTGTAAAGATGGTGGTGGACTTTAGGTGCAACCCTCCCTCAAACCCTACCCCCCCCCCTTAACATCAACGGCGCTGTGGTTCCCACTGTAGAGTCAGTCAAGTTCCTAGATACCACCATATCCAAGGAGCTGAAGTGGGAGAGGAACACGGTCTCCACCGCCAAGAGAGCTCAGCAGAGAATGTTCCTCCTGAGACAGCAGAAGAAATTCAACGTGCCGCAAAGCCTGAAGATCCAGTTCTACACAATGATCATTGAGTCCATCCTCACATCATCTATAACCATCTGGTTTGGTTCATCCACCTCACAAGAATAAGCCAAACTCCAGTGCATAATCAGGAAAGAGGATCGTGGTCTGTCAACACTTAAGGACATCTACAGCAACAGGGTGACGAAGCACACCAACAAAATTACTGACCCCTCTCATCCTGGACATCACCTCTTCACTTCCAGACATGCCCCTCTGGTAGAAGACTCAGGACCATCAAGACCAGCACAGCCAGACATGCTAACAGCTTTTTCTCCCAGAACTGTAGCTCATAAACCACAGTGGACACCAAGTCCATCCTTGGCACTTTAAACTTAACTGAACCTAACAAACCTCCCTTACTATATGACAGTATTAACTACTCTGTAATGTCATGCTTATTTGTACAAATGTTAGTTTTTACAAATGTTCATATCATTCAGTGAAATTCTGTATATAGTAGTTATTATATGTCTTCTCAGACCTGCATATGTACAGATATTTGCACATCTCTGTCTCATTTCACATTATTTCTTATTCTTTATTGTATTCTTTGTATTTTTTATTTTAATTTGTCTCTTAAAATTAAAATACTCGTTAATAGTCGTAAATACTCGTAAATGTTTGCTTGTCTGGTCTGTTCAGTATGGCTGCGTTCACACAGCAGGTAAAAGTGCCCCAAATCTGATTTTCTCACCAAATCCGATTTTTTTGTTTGGCTGCTATTATTATCTTTTAAATGTGACCTGTATGCAACATTAGTCTGAACAGATCATACTCCACTCCTAAACTGACTCGCATGCACAAAAGAACAGTGCTCATAAACAATCATGACAGCCAGCAAACGGCGGTTACTCCTGGAGCTTCCAGTTTGTCTTCGCCAGCATGACAGGAGCGATTATGAAGTTTTTTGACGCTGCAGCCACAGTCTCCTCCGGCCGCGTTCGGACGTTTCTTTCGAAATCTCTTCAAACACGGAGGGTTGTGATAATTGTCTTCTAATTTTTTGGTACAGAACCATCAGCCTAAATGTTTATGAGCCTCAGCAGCGCGAAATTATGACGGATGTCGAGTTGAATTGTCGTAAACGTCGCATGAATTCCGATCTGACTGTTCAGACTGAGTCACATTGCCGCAGATCGGATACGTATTGGATTTCAGTACCACATATGAAAGCGTCTCAAATCGGAATTGAAAATGTCAGATTCAGTGTGTTTATCTGTTCACACTGACACACAGACACACATCTGTGTCACAGATGGAGAAAAAGATCAGATTTGGGCCACTTTTACCTGCTGTGTAAACGTAGCCTATGTTACGTGTCATACATAAATGCACTCACCAAGACAATTTCCTTGTATGTGTAACATGCTTTGCTGATTGACCAGTAAGCCAAAGACTTTGCTTGAAAAGGTGATAATCGCCATGATGGGAAAGAGAACTGAGAAAAGTACAGAGGACTTTTATAATTGTGAACTGCTTGCTAAATAATATTAAGTATTATGTACATAATGTGGTGGGATATTATCGATAATCCAGATTTTTAAACAAAATATCATGCAAATTATACTGGCCGCCATGTTGGCCTAATGATTTAACCCAACTGGAGTAATGGCTGATGTAAGTTATAAACCTTAACCTTTTTATCTAGGTTGGCCTGACATCTCAAAAATGTGTGAAATATTGGTGAGTGCAAATTGTCCACTTTTTGTAGAATGATGTAAATGGAATGTATAGCAAAATAACTAACATAATTCTTGCTAATTAATTCCTTGTTAAACATATGAATTTTGAGATGTTGTTGGATAAAACTTTCAATTACAAGGTTTTTTCCTGAGGCCAAAAGAGAAGTAATTTTTTTCTGTATTTTAATATTTCATACTCATGGTAAAACCTTATTCTCTGTTCATTTTGCTTTTGTGTTATTGTTTGCTATCCTGTGTCGACCAGAGGAGAATGGGTTCCTCAAGGTTTTTTCCTCTTGCTTTTAGGCAGTTTTTCTGTAAATCTGCTTTATGACAACACCTGTTCTAAAAAGCACTGAATAAATAAACTTTGGCTTGGCTTGACTAATTCTGTTCCAGCAAAACACCAGAGAACAACCCATAACAACAAGCTGTCAATCAAGCTAGGGGATGTGAGCAGCTTTGAGACCATATAAAACAGATGTTTCTGCCTCCTCAAGCCATAATGCATTTGACCATGAACTTGAACTCTTGCTTTCCTACTGTTTCTCAAGAAAAGCTAAGATCTTCTTTATGTTTTTTGTCTAAACGTTGGATTCATGAATCCTACGGAGGTTAACCAAACTGATCAATGCTTCAGGTTTTCCTGTCCAGAGAGATCTGTATCTGCTGTATATGTGTTGTTGTATGTATCTGCAGCTGCTGTAGTTCTGCTAACAGTGTGTGGAAATCTGCTCATCATCATCTCTGTTTGTCACTTCAAGCAGCTCCACACACCAACTAACATGCTCATCCTCTCTCTGGCTGTGTCAGACTTTCTGGTCGGAGTTTTTGTGATTCCTGTATCATTAATATGGATGATCGAATCATGTTGGATTTTTAGTGCAGTTTATTGTGTATGTTTTATTTTGATGTCTTATTTTCTAACAAACACATCAATATTCAATGTTGCTCTGATTGCAGCTGATCGGTATTTTGCTCTCTCTAATCCATTTCTATACAGTAATACAGTCTCTGTGAATATTATGTGTATTGTGGCTTTATGTACTTGGTTTGGGATATTGTTTTATAATGTAGCACTTCAGTACTTCAATGGATACTATGCAAGTGTGGTAATGTGTCCTGGACACTGCTTTTTGATCTTGGATGAGGTCTGGTCTTTGGTTGATCTTCTGATGTCCTTTGTTTTTCCATGTGCTGTTATAGTCATATTGTATATTCTAGTTTTTTTTATCGCAAGGAAACATGTCACTGCTATCAGAGAGCTTAATGCTCACACTAGAGTGACAGACTCGATGAAATCAGAGAGAAAAGCAGCTAAAGTACTTGGCATTCTGGTGTCTGTGTTTCTGGGATGTTTATTTCCATATTTCATTTATACTGTATTAGGTAACGTAATAGAAATTGAAATGGGATCTTTTCAAAAAGTCTTGTTGTTGGTTTATCTTAATTCTACCATTAATCCAGTTATTTATGCTCTGTTTTATCCGTGGTTTAGGAGGTGTGTTAAACTCACTTTAACTCTACAGATATTTAACACAGATTCTGCTCTGATGAATGTCCTTTGATAAGTATGTATGTGAATGACCTGTTGATTATACATCAGTTAATGAATGATCACATCATACTCTAAATAACATTAGCAGCCTACTGTCCTTCGAGCCTCGAACAGATGTTAGGTAACACTTTATTATTAAGGAACACAGTGTTTTTTGCTCAGTAAATAAAAAAATAGACTCTTTTAATATTAATTCTGTCCTGCATTAGTACAACATTTTGAAATATCTTTCTGATGCAACGTTTAAAAGAAGACAGTCACAGTCTGTGGATCCTACCAAATTCACAGCCATAAAATTTAAGCTCGGACCCCAGATTAAGTCTTTTTCTGTTTAATTAGCGATCTGTTGTGACCGGCAATAAAATGAGAATATTGTGTTGAGGTGATTTGTCATTTTAGATATGCAGAGCATTCACAAAAACATTCATTGATGTACACCAGGTTTGTGACAATAACTATTTTGTTAGCTTTAACATCATCACTGTTTACATTTTAACATGTTAGCTTGTCTACAAACGTTAAAGGTCTTCTACACAAACGTCCACAAAACCCCAAAGAGCTGAAGTTTATTATACACAGGAGTGGGTTCATGTGAGGGGCAAGGCAAATACCCACTTTACAAATCCCCCTTGTTTATGGCTATTTAGAGAAGAAAAGGTTAAAGGTAAAATTGCTCACACTTTCTGGCTCAGTGTCCCTCCTCTCAGCCCCCCATTGGCCATTCAGAGCCCTTTGTTGTGGCCTCCGATTAGGTTGTTGCTTTTTAAACCCTGAGAAATATCTCTCTCCAGCCGTAAGGGGCTAGTCCTGGGACCCATTCTCAGAGTCTGACCTGGGCTGTGGGGTCCAAGTTGACTGTGATACCAAAATCAAATACACATACATTTCTTGAGCAGAGCATGAATCCAAAGGGGTTTCTGGGAAGTGACAAGCCATGAGCCACAGTTTGGCCAGTTGACATCAGATTTTGATGTCAGGCTCAAAGGGGATAGGTTCATTGCAGGGGCTGCCCAGTCTCAGGTAGGATAGGTCTGTCCCCTGTACTGTCCCTTTAGCATCCCATCAAGGTTGAGGAAACTCCCTTAGCTGTGTGCAACACCCTCCCAACTCTCCAGGCAAGACAATGAGAGAGTGCTTTTGGCATATATTGTAGCCTCCATTATCTTCTGTGTGTTCTCTAGACTTTGTAGCCTAACTGTTTTTCTAACCTCTCGAGGCAGTGTGCATAGGAAACAATCCATTACCACCTTCTCTGGACAGCAGCCAGTGTTTGGTGAGACAAAGCAACTGCTTCATCACTGTCAGGGCACCACACCAGATTTTAAGACCTAACTACAGAATTCATCCACAGCAGCAGCAGGACCCATCTCAAGACATGCAAGAACTTCCTCTTCACATTTAGTTTTGGTTTTTCTATCAGGTGGGAGTAGTAGGCTAGTTGGGCCTCTACATCATCTTTTGGAATAAACTTAATTAGGAGCTGATGGGCTGATTTATGGGGATCTGGGAGTAACGGGGCTCAAAGCCAACAGATCCTTAGTCACTTGTTTCAAGCTGTGAGTCAGTTTTTGGGTGACGACTCTCTAGAACATGTTGTTGCAGCTGATCCATGGCGTTGCATGAGAAAAACAGAGGTAAGAAGTGCAGTGGGTCAACCACACTCCACACTCCTTACTACAAAGTCTCCCTTAATATCCCACCTCGACTCTCATTTCACCTTTACCCTCCCATTGGTCCACTCCTCTGCTTGCTCCATCACTCTCCCAGCATCCGACACCTTGCCATCCTTCTTGACACCACGGACCTCTCTTCTGAAAGCTCAGCTCAACTCTCTCCCAGGCCACCTCAACCACACTCACTGCATCTTACTGGAGAGACAGCATATCAGAACATCCTTCAGTCTTGCTCCATCTGCTACTTAACTGGATGATGCGTACCTCGTGGCAGGCTTTTAGTCTGGCCCCTTCCCTCTTTGGACTGGGATGGCAATGGTTCAATCTGTGAAGATACTGCCTGTGCCTCTGGGAGCCATTTTGGCTGCTGAATTGCCAATATGGCTGTCGTATCCCGTTAATTTCACAAAGGATACTATGTTAATACCTTATCTCAGAATTTACCTAATTACCAAATTAAATAAATCAGTCATTATTCAGTCTCATATATAATGAAGTTCTAACTAGCTTTTCAACTAAGGAAGTTGACATTAATGAAAGTTCTGAAGGATTTGTAATAAATGTCAAATCTTTTTCAAATCATTAGTTGAATGATATAAAGACAGACAAATTGGTGAAAATAAAACATTTATTAGCACACAATCAGTTCTAGCCTATACAGTACTAGCCTGTTTGAGAGCTTGTCGATTTACTATCAACAACCTATGACATCATTTATCAAGCTGTCATGTAAACTAGGGGGTGTGAGCATTGTTTTTATATTTAAAAGTAGCAGCCCTTCTACTGCAAGCCATAATGTCTTTCACCATGAACTCTCACCATCTTACCATTCCTCATACTGTTCCTCAGGAAAAGCCAGCATTTTCTTTTTTTAAGGCTTCCTTAAATGCTGGATTCATGAATCTTACAGAGGTTGACCAAACTGACCAGTGTCTCAGGTTTTCCTGTCCAGAGAGATCTGTATCTACAGTATATGTGTTTCTGTATGTGTCTGCAGCTGCTGTAGTTCTGCTAACAGTGTGTGGAAATCTGCTCATCATCATCTCTGTTTGTCACTTCAAGCAGCTCCACACACCGACTAACATGCTCATCCTCTCTCTGGCTGTGTCAGACTTTCTGGTCGGAGTCCTTGTGATGCCAGCAGCATTAATATGGATGATTGAATCATGTTGGATTTTTAGTGCAGTTTATTGTTTATGTAATATTTTGTTTTCTTATCTTCTCACAGCTACATCAACATTTAATGTTGCTCTCATTGCAGTTGATCGGTATTTTGCTCTCTCTAATCCGTTTCTCTACACTAAAATTGTCTCTGTGAACACGATGTGCATTGTGGTTTTATGTTACTGGTTTGTATTAATGTTTTACAGTCTAGCACTTCAGTACTTCAATGGACACTTCACACAACCAGTAATGTGTCCTGGACACTGCTTTTTGGACTCAGATGAAGTCTGGTTTTTGGTTGATTTTCTGTTTACATTTGTTTTGCCGTGTGCTGTTATAGTCATACTGTATGTTCTGGTTTTTGTTATTGCAAGGAAACATGCCACTGCAATCAGAGACCTTCATATTCAAACTAGGACATCAAAGAACATGACAGACTCTATGAAATCAGAGAGAAAAGCAGCTAAAGTACTTGGGATTTTGGTGTCTGTTTTTCTAGGATGTTTATTTCCATATTTTGTTTCTACTTTATTAGGTAATTTTATAGAAATTGAAATGGGATCGTTTCAAAAACTCTTGATGATGTTTTATCTTAATTCCACTATTAATCCAGTTATTTATGCTTTGTTTTATCCGTGGTTTAGGAGGTGTGTTAAACTCATTTTAACTTTTAAAATATTCAACACAGATTCTTCACTGATGAATGTTCTTTGATTAATATAATACGTAAGACAGTTGACACAGTGAACACTGAAAAAAGATGGTTCTTCAAGGGTTCTTTAGGAAAGGCAATGGTTCTATTTAGAACCAGGAGTGCAACTTAGAATGATTTGTTTGCTTAAATGGTTCATTGCATGGTAAAACAGTTCTTCAGATTGTTGGAGAATGTGTTGCATATGGTTCGACATAGAACCTTTTTTAAAATAGTTAAAGGGTTCTTCTGTTGTTGCAATGTATACTTGTATACAATAGAGGATTCCTTTTGGTGCTATATAGAACCATATACAGCACATTCTCTATCAGTCTGAAGTACTGTTTCACCATGCAAAGAACCATTTAAGCATTCAAATAGTTCTACATAGATCTCAAGAACTAAAGACCCTTTGAAGATCCATCTTTTTTTTAAGTGCGAACATCAGGCTTGTAGGCACTATGATTATATTTACCAGTTCTAACAGCTCCTCTGACTGTGTCATATTCAAAATAACACACAGCTGTCCGTACACATACTGTCCCCTGAGCTCCCAAAAGAAGGCTGGACATTAAAATGACTTTGGGGCATATGCAGATTTTAGGCATGTTGTTACAGGCATAGCAGGAAAAATGTTTAATGTGCCTCTGTTCAGGGTACAGAGGTTCAGTACTTTTATGGTGCAGACAGAATGAATTCTGTACCACAGAGTATCAAAAAACATCTGTGTCATTTAATGCCAAGTTTTAATACCAAAACAGTCACAATTAAAATTATTTGCCTACTACAGTGGGAATAGGATCAAATTTTATGGGCCTCCTTGATAAAGTGTTGTAAATACACTGCAGTTTTATATTGCTCTGACATGCACACACTTGCACACACATTGCTCTAACATGCTATTTTCACTTGATTTTAAACACACTATTTCTGCTTACTCTGGTATAAAAAAAGAAGTAGTGCAACATAGCAGGAAAAGAGGAACATTTATATGATATTTTCATTTTTGGCCAGTTGCAACTAGCAAGAGAAAACATGGCAGGACTGTTTTTGTACATGGATCTGGCAGCATGTCTCTCGTGACAAGCAGCAAAAAAACAATAGAATAGCCGCTTGCTCACCTTTGGTACCCATTCTTTGGACAAAATGTATCTATTTCAAACACAGGAACTGCAGAGACGACACATTTTTATTAAAAAAGCAGCTCTGTAGACATTTAGACCACTTTGTTACCTTCTGAAAACATGCCTCACTGCAGCTGGCTGCGAATTATATCTGTTTATGGCAGTGAAGTAAGGATTGTAACTGGGTCACATTCAATTTAACAGATACCTGATCCATGAAAATGTGCTTGGAATCCCCAAATTTAATACCTATAACAGGAAAAAAATAATTCAGGCATTTTATGATCTTGAATTTTAAAAATCAATTTTAAGACTTTATAGGTCTTTTAAGGATCGGGGGTAACTGTGCCATAGGCATCAAGAGCCGCTGAACTGAATGAAATTCATGTACTCCACCCATCATTCTTTTCTCTCTGACCCTACAACCCTCAACAGCAACACACTACGTTCACGTCAGAGTGCCACAAAGGATCAACTCAAGTAGTCTATCTGCTGAGGCTAAATTCCTCAAATTAAACCATTTGAATCCTAGAGTGCAACATCTAACTTAGATATTCCAAATGCTCTAACATCTGACCAACCTTTTGTTCTGAATCTAGCTCTTCCAAATCTTATACTTCACTCATACACCCACACTGTGTTTTCTACTTACCACAATTTGACCATCACAACAAAGACCAAGCATTGTTGTATGCAACTAATCGAGGGTTAGTGCATACAGAGGTGATTGCGATGGGGGAAGGTTAGTCTCGCCTTACAGTCCAATTTCTAACTGTGAAGATCGGAGTGATTTGTCACCAGCCCAGTATGATTTCAGAGGAACTATAACATCTGCCTTATTTAATAAGGACATTGTTTCTTATTTTGATCACAGGATACAGACCGTTGGCTTTGAAGATGTTGTGACAGGTGGTGAAGAGAACTTTACGTCTCCATGCATGGAGGACCCAGTCAATTTGTTTAATCTCCACCATGGGGGGCAGTCGTGGGCTGGAGGTTACAGATCCAGCCTTGTGACCGGAAGGTCACTGGTTTGATCCCCTGAGCTGACAGGACATTACTTAAGTGCCCTTGAGCAAGTGCACATAGGTGCTCCCTGGGTGCTGTGGACAGGGCTGCCAACCGCTCTGGGCAAGTGTGCTCACAGCCCCCTAGTGTGTGTGCATTCAGTAGTGTGTATGTGGGTGTTTCACTGCACTGATGGGTTAAATGCAGAGGTGAATTTCCCTGTTGTGGGATTAAGAAAGGGTAACTTAATGGATGAAACATTTTGCCCCAGCATGATCTAGATTGATGATGGCTGTGCCTCTCAACAAACCAATACAGTAATATTGATGGAAGCCAACGATTAATTACCATCACAGGACAGATGGAATTTATCGGGTTCCATGGGTTTTTAGGATGACAGGGCAGGAACTTTGGAGTTTCTTTTGGGTGAAACAGATTTATGGGGGACTCAGGAAGGACCCGCAGTCACAGCAAGTACAATTTTCGAATAAATTTCTCAGATTTAGGTACCGGTTTGATTTTGGGTACAGTGCCATCAACCAGAATCGCTGGACGAGGCCAACAAGCTGGCAGAGGTGCACATGGCAGCAGAATCAGGGGCAGGAACCCCCACCCAACCAACATCTCTCTCCTCTGGCCCTGCTCCGAGGAAAAAGGGAGCACTTGGGCCCAAACCCTTTCCCCGCATTTGCCCTCCCCGCAACCCCCCCTTTGTACCTAGGATATACAGAGTGATGTGGGAAACACAAACATCAAAGGTTTTAACACAGCTGTTGGTACCAAATAGTCATAGGAAATTGTTATTCCATGTGGCTCATAATAACCCCATGGCAGGGCATCTGGGGCAAGAAAAGACACTTAATTGTCTAATGGTCCACTTTTATTGGCCAGGCATTCTCACTGATGTACACAGGTGGTGTGCGTCATGCCGTGAATGTCAGCTGGTGAATCCCCCGGCCATCCCAAAAGGGCCTTTGCGCCCCCTTCCATTAATCAAGATCCCCTTCAAAAGAACTGTCATGGACCTCGTCGGAACATTGGATCATATTTTAGTAGATTATGCATAGTGGGACCCAGAGGCGGTGTCTCTTTGCAACATATCAGCAAATACGGTTGCAGAGGCACTCTTCAAAGTGATCTCGAGTCGGGATCTCGAAAGAGATCCTGACTGATCAGGGCACCATGTTTATGTTACTCACTTTACACGAACTATAGGAATTGTTGGGCATTAAATCGATTCATACCAGTGTTTACCACCCCCAAACGGATGGACTGGTCAAACACTAAATATGATTCAAAGGGTTTGAAGTTTGTTCACGATAGCGCTAAAAATTGGGATAAGTGGCTAGAACCCCTGTTGTTGAAAACATCATTAAAGTCATTAAAGAATATTGGGAGGAACCTTCAAACAGTAAGAATGAAATCCAAAACGTTCTTGACCTGAGAGCAAAACTCCAAGCACTGGGGCACTTAACTCAGGAGAATTTGCTCCGGGCTCAAGAACGTCAGAGCTGCGTCTACAACAGGGGCACTCAGGTGTATACGTTTTCACCAGAAGACAAAATGCTCGTTTTACTCCCCACATCTAACTCCGAATTGCTCACCACGTGGCAAGGACCCTTTGAAGTCACACCACGAGTAGGAGAAGTTGACTCTGAGGTCAGATGGACAGGCAGAGTCGGGGCACTTCTCCTTAAACCCTGGAGGGAGGCAGTCCCTGTTTCTCTGGTGACGGTAGTTCCCGAGAGAGCTGAGTTGGGGCCAGAGGTCCCACCAAACATAATCACACTCTGGTCCCCTGTGGGGACCCGTCCCAGAAAGCCGAGGTGGCCAAGTTACAAGTGGAGTTTTCTGACATGTTTTCGCCTCTGCCTGGCCGTACTGACATCATAGAACACCACATTGAAACCCCTCCTGGCATGGTTGTACCTAGCCTGCCTTATCGCTTGCCTAAGCACAAAAAAAGGTGGTTCAGGGTGAAATTAAGGCTATGCTCGATATGGGGGTATATGGGGGTAATCGAATCGAGTCCGACAGTGATTGGAGCAGCACTGTGGTGTTTGTACCCAAGCCCAACGGGACTGTTTGTTTCTGTGTGAACTACAGAAAAGTCAATGCAGTGTTCAAATTTGATGCATATTCCATTGTACATATTGATGAACTGCTCGATTGGTTAGGTGCTGCTCATTTTCACTCGACACTGGATTTGACCAAGGGCTACTGGCAGATCCCCTTGACTCCAGTATCCCAAGAAAAAACAGCTTTCTCCTCACCGTTTGGGTTACACGAATTCGTCACTCTACCTTTTGGGTTATTCGGGGCACCGGCGATGTTTTAGCGGCTCATGGACAGAGTTCTCCACCCACACTGTGTTTATGTTGCTGCCTGCTTAGATGGCAGTCATGTATAGCAACGATTGGCAGCAGCACATCCAACATTTGAGAGCTGTTCTGAGGTCGCTGAGACGGGCTGGGTTTACGTCCAACCCAAAGAAGTGTGTGATTGGTCGGGTGGAGGTATGGTATCTGGGCTTCCAGTTGGGTCGCAGACAGGCATGTCCCCAAATTAATAAGATCGCAACAACTGCGGCCTGTCCAGGACCCAAGACCAAAAAGGAGGTGAGACAGTTCCTGGGGGCGGCTGGCTATTATCATAGATTCATACCTAATTATTCGGATGTCACCAGCCCATTGACTGAGCTCACTAAAAAGGGAGCACCAGATCCGGTGCCAACAGGCTTTAAACCGTGTTAAAGCAGCTCTCTGTGGGGGCCCGCTGCTGCATTTGCCTGACTTTGCTCTCCCTTTTGTCTTGCAGACTGATGCGTCGGACAGAGGGCTGAGGGCCGTTTTGTTTTAGCATCTTGTCGTATTTTCTGTGTGATGAAAAGCTCCTCCATATCTCACTCTTCGCTCATACATCCACACCAAGTTTTCTACCTAAGCTATCAGTATCTTCTGCAGGCCAGGGACTTCCAGACCATGGTCACCACTTTATCTCTCAAAGTACAACAATATTGAAAACAAAATGGAATTATGAAATAACTGAAGTTTGGAAAGAAGACCATGCATGAAGCCCATCCTCCTTTCAATGTAATGTCCTATAAAGTTTCCATATCTAATTTCTATTATGGAGTTTGCATGTTCTCCCCATGTCTGTGTGGGTCTTCTCTGGGTGCTCCGGTTTCCTCCCACATTCCAAAGACATGCAGCCAGGCCAGTTGGAGATACTAAATTGGCCCTAGATGTGAGAATGTGTGTCTGCCCTGTGATGGACTGGTGACCTGTCCAGGGTGGTTCCTGCCTTCTGCCTATTGAGTGCTGGGACAGGCTCCAGCATTCCTGCCATGACCCAAGAGGATAAGTCGCTTAGACGATGAGTGAGTAATTTCCATTATCTGTAACTGTTCTCGCACCCCAAAAGCACCCCATCTCCTTCCTATTCCTCAGGGGAGGTCCGGCCTTCTAGCTTCAAGGAGAAACTGCCCCGAACTCCGGCCTACATTCTCAGAGGGTTCCGTCTTCCTACAGTCTCTTCAACATGGTCAGCGCGTGGTATGACCATGCTGAAGACACGGCCAGAACTAGTAAATTTGTTTTCATTAGAAAATTGCTGAATATTAGTGACCTATGGTGCACTGTGAAGTTTATCATTATATTCTTGCCAGTTAACCAACAGATGTCAGGCATTGCTTGCAATGAAAGGATGTTGTAAATTTCTTCTATTATACGTTAAGTATTTCTCAATTATTAAAGGAAGCACAAATTCTGTAAAAAGGAGAGATTATAAATTTTTATCCATACAAATTTGTGTTTGTTAGTAGAAGAAAAGAATTTTGACTACGAATTGAATTCAGTTGTTACTGTACATTTTGATTGTCTTGATTTATAGAAAGAAAAAATGTCTTTTACTTTTTTTGCCATTTTGCCATTTGTCAGAAAGTCAAGAAAGTCAAGTCAGACATACAGACCTAAACATGTCAATACAGCTATACAAGTATTTCATACTTAGACATAATGAATCATGTAATTATACAATTTAATTAAAATTATTACATGCTTTAATATAATATATAGTGCGCATAATTTATAGCATACTGATCTGTAAAGGTCAACTTTTTGACTTTTGAGTTGTTATTTGACAGTAGTTTGTCTGTGGTGAATGGATCTTCTACTGTAAGAGTGGAAAATGTCTTTCAGGTCTTAGAGGACTGTTCAAAACTGTGTATTTACTACACAGCCAACAGCCCATGACATCATGTATTAAACTGTCATTCAAACTAGGAGGCGTGACTTTTTTTTTTTGAAGTATAAAATAGCAGAGCTGCTGTCTCAAACCATAATGCCTTTTACCATGAACTTGGACTCTAACTATCTTACCTCTTCTTCTTAATGCTTCTCAGCCAAAGCCAAGATCTGCTTTTTTCCTTTGAGCTCTACTCAAATGCAGGACACATGTCTGTTATGGAGGTTAACCAAACTGATCAATGCCTCAGGTTTTCCTGTCCAGAGAGATCTGTTTCTACTGTATATGTGTTAACATATGTATCTGCAGCTGCTGCTGTTCTGCTAACAGTGTGTGGAAACCTACTTGTTATCATCTCTGTTTGTCACTTCAAGCAGCTCCACACACCAACTAACATGCTCATCCTCTCTCTGGCTGTGTCAGACTTTCTAGTGGGAGCTCTTGTGATGCCTATGACATTAACATGGATGATCGAAGCATGTTGGATTTTTAGTGCAGCTCAATGTTTGTGTAATGTATTTTTTTCTTATCTTTTCACAACAACATCAGCTTATAGTGTTGCTCTCATTGCAGTTGATCGGTATTTTGCTCTCTCTAATCCATTCCTCTACACTCAAGCAGTCTCTGTGAACACGATGTGCATTGTGGTTTTATGTAACTGGTGTCTATTACTGTTGTACTATCTAGTACTTCAGTACTTCAATGGATATTTCACCAACCTGGTAATGTGTCCTGGAGACTGCTTTTTGGTCTTGGATGAGGTCTCATTTCTGGTTGATCTTCTTTTGGGATTTGTTTTCCCCTGTTCTGTTATAATCATATTTTATGTCATGGTTTTTGTTATTGCAAGGAAACATGCCACTGCAATCAGAGACCTTAACATTCAAACAAGGACATCAAAGAACACAGCAGACTCTATGAAGTCAGAGAGAAAAGCAGCTAAAGTACTTGCCATTTTGGTGTCTGTATTTTTGGGATGTTTATTTCCATATTTCATTTATACTGTATTAGGTTATGTAATAGAAATTGAAATGGGAGCATTTCAGAAAGTCTTGGTGCTGCTGTATCTTAATTCGGCTATTAACCCGGTTCTTTATGCTTTGTTTTATCCGTGGTTTAGGAGGTGTGTTAAACTCATTTTAACTCTTCAAATATTCAACACAGATTCTTCACTGATGAATGTTCTTTGATGAATGAATTATGTAAGACAGTTGACACTGTACTTTAGGTTTGTAGTCACCTTGATTGTATTTGCCAGTTTTGATGAACAACTAGAAATTTGCCTCTGTGTCATATGATTAAATAGACTATGATTTCATATCGCTCTGACGTGCAAACAGTAGCTGCTCCTTTCACTTGGTTTTAAACACTCTCTTCCTGCTAGGAAAAGCAGTCCATTTCTGTGATGGCTTTGTTTTCGGCCTGTTACGACTAGCAAGAGAAAAATGTGTCAGGACTGTATTTTGTACATGGTTCTGTCAGCATGTTGCTCCTGACAAGCACCAGAAAACAGTAGTATAGCCACATGCTCACATTTTGTGCCAGAGTTAGATTAAATGCATCTATGTGAAACAGCATAAACACAGGCGCTGCAGATATTACGGATTTATATTTTCCACCTAAAAGCAGCTCTGTGGACATTTAGACCACTGTGTTACTTTCTGAAAGGTGGTTGTGGATAATGTCTGTTTATGGCAGTGCAGTAAACAGAGACTTATTTTAACAGACACCTGATCCATTAAAATATGCTTGGACATGCTCAAAGTTAATACCTCTAATAGGACAAAACAAGATTTTCAGGCATTGTATGTCAGTTTTATAGCTTTATTATACTTTTTAAGGATCTGCAATAACTGTGATGTAGTTGTCAAGAGCTGTTGAATTGAATGAAAATTCATCTACCCATCATCTTTTCCTCTCTGATCTTACAACCCTCAACAGCAACATATCACCTCAGAATGACACAAAGGCCCAACTCAAGAACTCAATCTCTTGCTTAAGCTAAATTCCTCAATTTAAACCATATGAATCCTCAGGCATTCGAATGTTCTATCATCGGACCAACTTTTCGTTCTGATTCTAGCTCTTCCATTTTCTCATACACCTGCACAAGTTTCTACCTTCTGTAGGCCAGAGACTTCTGGGCTACGGTCACCTCTTTTTCTCTCAATGTACAGCAATGTTTAAAACAAAATGAAGTTATAAAAACTGAGGTTTAGAAAGAAGACAATGTGTAAAGCCCATCCTCCTTCCAATGTAATGCTCCCTAAATTTTCCATCTCTACCCCATCTCCTCCCTGTTCAGTCCAGTCAGACCAATCTCTGCTGATCTAAAAGAGGAGGTCCAGCTTTCTAGCTTCAAGCAGAAGCTGCCCAGACCTCCAGCCTAGGTTCTCAGAGGGTTCTCCCCTCCTATAGTCTTACAGTTTCCTCTCGGGCTATGACAAACATGGTCAGAACTAGTAAATCTATTTTCATTAGAAAATTACTTAATATTAGTCACTTATGGTGCACAGTAAAGAATATCAGTTTTAAGCCCCACTGAGGGCAGTCGTGGGCTGGAGGTTAGGGAACCAGCCTTATGACTGGAAGGTTGTCGATTCGATACCCTGATCTGACGGGACATGGCTGAGGTACCCTTGAGCAAGGCACCTAACCCCCAACTGCTCCCCGGGCACTGCGGATAGGGCTGCCCACCACCCTGGGCAAGAGTGCTCACTGCCCCCTAGTGTGTGTGTTCACTAGTGTGTATGTGGGTGTTTCACTGCACAGAGGTGAATTTCTTCATTGTGGGATTGATAAAGGGTAACTTAAATACAGGCATACTTAAATACTTAAGGTAGATGTAATCAAAAATGACAAACAACAAAATAAAAACTATTCTAGTTTATTCTTGCCACTTAACACCGATGTCAATTATTGCTTGACATAACAAAAGCATGTTTTAATTTGTATCTATTATATGTTGTTTCAATCATTGAAGCACACATATAAATTTGATAAGGTTGTATAAAAAGATTATATAATGTATCCATACCCAACTGTTTGTAACCATAAGAGTAGATATTTTACTATAATTCATTACTGTACATTGAGTATCTTGATATGAGGAAAGAAAAAAACATCCTTATATGATTTAAACATATCCATACACATGTACACGTCTTTAATAATTAGGCATAATTAATTATTTAAGTGTAAGAATTAATTTAAATTATTACATTAAGATAATATACAGTACCAGTCAAAAGTTTTAGAAAACTCCAATTTTTCCAGGTTTGTGGATGTTTATGTAGTTTAATGTCTCAATGTATTCAAATTAAAGTATAGGACAAATAAACAATATAAAAAAGAAATCCTGGAGTTGCTTTAACAAAGTTTTATGTACATTTTTGATTCATCAGAGTAGCCATCTTTTGTATAGCATTTTGCTGCAAAATGCTGTGGTAGCCTCTGACTCTGGATCCGGCATAAGATCCGTGTCCATCACACTTCCTCTTCTATGTTTGACAGTTGGTGAGGAATCATCCTTTCACCTACTTGATGCCAAACAAAAGCCCTGCATGATGAACCCAATATTTAATGTGAAGATTCAGTGAAGAGTTTGATTCACCTGTTTATAAGACCTTTTTCCAGTCTTCAGTAGTCCAGTGGTGGTGCAGCTGGACCCTAAAAAGGCTTTTTTTCTCTTCTTGACATCTTAGCAATGTCTTTTTTACTGCCACTTGACCAATCAAACCTGCAGCTCAAAGTGTTCTCTTCACATTTGAAACGGAGATTTTCTTACTTTTGAGGTTACGATGTTAAGCTGTTGTCCTGTGAGCCAAACTGTTCACTCTCAGAACCTCAAAGTCTTCTGATAGTTCTGGGTCTTTGGGTCTGCCAGACCAAAGAGTTCCTCCTCCAGTTTCCTCTAGTTTCCAAGTGCATTTTTATGGTCTAGGAAACTGTACACACTGACATCCTGGCTTTCTTTGCAATTTCCTTAAAGAACTGATCTACACTCTTAAAGGTTATAATAGCCTGTATGTTTTGCTGGGTTAACTGCCTTTCTCTCAAAATTATGAAACTACAAACTGCAGTGAAATAATGTTTAAATACTGCCCAAGAGTGTTAGTAACTCAGTCTGTTTCAGCACTGCTTCTATAGACACAGAGGCTTTGAAACACCTGTAGGAATTGTTCTCATCAACTTTCAAAACTTAATTTGATTCCAATGTGGCAGAACAGTGAAATATTGTTAAACAATGACTTGTTTATCTGAGAAAGGCCCTTTTGTATCTAAGAATGTACATTATTTTTCAGTTTCCAGTTTATTATTCAGTTTCTTTTAACCTCTGGTAGTTTACTGCTTACTTTTGTACCATTTCAGGTTGTTTACTGAACTATATAAATATCAGCAAGACTTGGAAAAAAGGGTCTGTTCTAAAATGTAAACTGTTGGCAGTGTTCATTCACAGTACGCATATACTGTTTAACTTAGAAACTGTGTTGCTGGACAACTGTTTGTCTGTCTGTGATGAATGGATCTTCTACCATAAGAGAGGAAAATGTTTTTCAGGTTTCACAGCCCTGTTCAAAACTGTGTATTTACTACCCAGCCAACAACCAATGACATCATGTATCAAACTAATATTCAAACTAGGGGGGTGTGATCATTTTTTTTAAGTATAAAAATAGAAGACCTGCTATCCCAAGCCATAATGCCTTTTACCATGAACTCTTATCATCATACCTTCTTATCTTAATGCTTCTCAGCAAGAGCCAAGATCTGCATTATTTCTTTAAGCTCTACTCAAATGCAGGATACATGTCTGTTATGGAGGTTAACCAAACGGATCAATGCTTCAGGTTTTCCTGTCCAGAGAGATCTGTATCTACTGTATATGTGTTGTTGTATGTGTCTGCAGCTGTTGTTGTTCTGCTAACTGTGTGTGGAAATCTGCTGATCATCATCTCTGTTTGTCACTTCAAGCAGCTCCACACACCGACTAATATGCTCATCCTCTCTCTGGCTGTGTCAGACTTTCTGGTGGGAGCTCTTGTGATGCCAGCAGCATTAATATGGATGATTGAATCATGTTGGATTTTTGGTGCAGTTTACTGTTTGTGTTATATATTGGTCTCTTATTTTCTCGCAACTACATCCATATTTAATGTTGCTCTGGTTGCAGTTGATCGGTATTTTGCTCTCTCTAATCCATTTCTCTACACTGAAACAGTCTCTGTGAGCATAATGTGCATTGTGGTTTTATGCAACTGGTTTGCAATAATGTTTTATAATGTAGCACTTCAGCACTTCAATGGACACTTCACAAGTGTAGTAATGTGTCCTGGAGACTGCTTTTTTGTCTTAGATGAGGTCTGGTCTCTGGTTGATCTTCTGCTGACATTTGTTTTGCCATGTGCTGTTATAGTCATATTGTATGTTCTAGTTTTTGTTATTGCAAGGAAACATGCCACTGCAATCAGAGAGCTTAATATTCATACTAGGGCATCAAAGAATATAACAGACTCTATGAAGTCAGAGAGAAAAGCAGCTAAAGTACTTGGCATTTTGGTGTCTGTGTTTTTGGGATGTTTATTTCCATATTTCATTTATACTGTGTTAGGTAATGTAATAGAAATTGAAATGGGATCATTTCAAAAAGTTTTGATGTTAGTTTATCTTAATTCTACCATTAATCCAGTTATTTATGCTTTGTTTTATCCGTGGTTTAGGAGGTGTGTTAAACTCACTTTAACTCTACAGATATTTAACACAGATTCATCACTGATGAATGTCCTTTGATGAATAAAGTATGTAAGACAGTTGGCACTGTACTTTAGGTTTGTAGGCACTCTGATTGTATTTATCATATTTATGTATCATATTTATAATAAGACACAGCGTACTGTTCTCTGAGCTCCAAAAAGACGGCTGGACACTGGACATTTTTGTTGTCTAGGACTTTAAAATGACAGTTTTCTGGGGGATTTCCAGACTTTCATTTAGCACATTAACACTGGCACTGAATTTTCTATTTTATGTGCCCCTGCTTGGGTACTGAAGTTCAATATTTTATGGTACAGAGTAGTGAAGTACTACTGAAGAACACTTTGTAACATTGGTTGTCATTCAGACCCCTCCCCCAATGACTGAAAGAGCGTTCAAAGAAAACTGTGGGAGTAAATCACCCACTGATGTAATCATATCTTCATCAGTATAATGTTGATTTTAAAACCTAAACATCAAGACACACCTCCTTTTAGAGTCTGTGCAGGTGATGTAAAGACATAGGCCTGTCACTACACCTCTGAATCATCATGATGATCTCCATGGATAATCTACACCTCATCCACACCTCATCAGACTCACTCTGATCTTACTGCACCTTCAATCTAGCAAATCTATACTTACACATATGGAATGACATCTTGCACATCTTCTATCCACATTTTGTATAATCTGGAGGATTTCTATATCAATATTCTATCCCATGTACCTGAATCTCATTTATTATCTACCTCAGACTAACTGCACATACAGAGATGTCTACAACAGTACATTTCATAGTTTTCTTTCATAACTTATTACTGTACAACAGTACATTGGACTTGTGTATATTGTGTATATGTGTATATTCAGAGTCGGTGTATATATATTTCTTTTTTTCTTCATATATATATATGTGTGTGTATATATATATATATATATATATATATATATATATATATATATATATATATATAATGTTAAAAAGGGCCGTTGGGGGACTTTAATTTTGCCTTTGAATGACTTGTTCATGTTCAGCCTGCCTACCTGTGTGCCTTCGGCCAATCGGAATGCAGCACAGAGCATTTCTGGGTTTGTAGGTTGGTCTGTGTTGTTCGATTGTAGTGGAGGAAAAGGCCGTTGGATGGTCCCCGGTTTGGCCGTGGGATTTACCCCCTCTTTTCAATGTGTTGTGTGCGCACATTTAAATGACCACACACACACACCTACGTTGACACATTAAAGGGAATCAGTTGGATTCAAGTGGTGGTGGCTCTCTGTAAAGCATTAGAGAAGCATCCTGACCCAAAGCCCTATAGTGATTCCAAACGTCCCTGAACTAGCCAGCAGTTTAAACCTTTAAGTAGTTTTCAATGGTACTTCGAGCTGGATTGGGGAACTGCTACAGTTATGATGTCAAGCTCTGACTCAGAACAGCCCGTTACTCGACCTCGCAGACGGACAAGCCGTCCTGCATACCTTGCAGACTATGACACGAGGACAAGGTTCCAGAGACAGAGGTCACCATCATCTAGTCCCAACCAAGATGCCTTGGAAGATGAACCACATGGCGCAGCAGGCCAATCACGATCAACTTCTCCACTCAGCCAAGTTTCCAGTCAGCAGGAGTGGCTCCTGAAGGACACGTGGGAGGCCATGTCGGACAGCATGAGGACAGAAAATGAGGATTTAAGGCGTCAGGCTAACCAGCTCCCTGATGTTATGGTGGCACTCCAAGAGATGAAACAGGAAAATGCTATACTGCATAGGAAGCTGCAGAAGATTATGTCAGAGCACAGAGACCTGTCAGAATCAGCAGTTTTGCCAGTGCCATTGCCACGTTCCCATGTCCAACAAGATGAACGCAGTCAGGAACTGAGGCTAAATCGCCCAGTCCCTGCCCCACGGACAAAGTTTCCATTAATCCCAGAGCAGAGATACCCTCAGTCCTTAACTAAAGGCTATGAAATAGGAATGGTGCACCAGCTCAGAGACGTCGCATTGTCTTCTGGGACAGTACCAAACATGCCTCGTGAGTCAACGTTTTGTGATCCACCCCCTAGCAGGTACTCCACCTACTATAGTCCTCCAGCTCACCATTTAGAGTCCTCCACCCCAGTATGTGAGCAATATGACCATCATCATAGAGTACCAAGAGGCCACCACTCCCCAGATCGCTACCACTCGCCACATCAGACGCCTATGCCAGAGCCTCAGGAGAGAATATCTCGAGGGCCCACTCCAACAATCCCCAGCTTGACTTCTCCAGACCCAAGGGAGTTTGCAAGGTTGAAGATTGCCCTGGAGAATATTCTTCCAAAGGATGCCACAGAACGGTTCAAATTCCAGATCCTCACAGACCAGCTACAGTTTGAGGAGGCTTTGCTTGTGGCAGATTCCTACACTAGCTCCAGGTACCCCTACACAGACACTATGGCTGCTCTCACTAAAATGTATGGACAGCCCCACCAGCTCGCCCTGCACATTGCAGAGCTCATGGATGGCCCAGACATTATGAGCGGGGATGTAAAAGCCTTCCGCATGTTTGCATTACGAGTGCGCTCCCTTGTAAGTATGCTAGAACAGCTGGGAAGAAAGGGCAGTGTCGAGTTAGAGTGTGGGTCTCATGTAGCCAGGTTACTGGGGAAGCTACCCCATGAACTCAGGTCCAGCTTTAGGAGGTCCATCCACCCACTGAGAGTTCCAATCCCTACGCTCCTTGATCTTGCCAACTGGTTAGAGTATGAGCTCCATATTCAAGAGGATAGCACTAGGTTCTCTAGTCTCACTAGGCTTGAGCCATCAGCCAGAAGAAAGGCGAGCCGTAGAGATTCTAAACAAGCTGGTAAAGTGGCCTCTGTTCTTCTGGGCACAGAGAAGGCAACTCCGGTGAACCCTCCTCCACCAGATACACAACACAAACCCAGTGAGGGCAAGAGAGAGAAGGGAAAGGCCTACTGTTCCTACTGTGATAACAACAATCACTTCTTGAATAGCTGTGCCAACTTCAAGCAGTTAAACAGGGAACAGAAAGAGAAGTGGATTAGAGACAATAACCAATGTTGGCGTTGTGGGCGTGGTCATCAGGCAGCCAAGTGCACCTTGAAAGCCCTCTGTCCCACCTGCAACCGGAAGCATCTGCTTGTGTTGCGTGAGGCGAACGAGAGAGCCACAGAGAAAGTTACCGAGGTGAACTCCTGCCTGGTGAACGCTCCAAAGGAGGTACTGTATTTTGGCCATCCAACTTACAACCCCAGAGTTCTATTAAAAGGTAAGGTCATGCTCAAGAATGGAGATCGGTCCCTAGAAGCATACGCAGTACTAGATGATGGTTCAGAGAGGGCTATCCTCCTCCATACGGCAGCACAACATCAAAGGGACACCAGAAGACTTACTCCTTCGAAGTCAGGCAGGACTTGCAGGTGCTTCATGGAGCAGTCGTGTCCCTCACTGTATCCCCTGCCGCTGAGCCAAAGAAAGCATTCAGAATCCACAGTGCCTTCACAGAGTCCCTGGGCTTAGCAGAGCACACCCTACTGCAATGTCAGTACAGACATCTTGCTGGCCTACTCTTGTGGAGCTTATTGTGATATTTAACACAGATTCCTCACTGATGAATGTCCTTTGATGAATAAAGTATGTGAGACAGCTGGCACCGTACTTCAGGTTTGTAGACATCTTGGTTGTATTTACCAGTTTTAATGAATGACTAGAAATTTGCCTCCTCTGACAGTATCATATCATTAACAACACACAGCCTACTGTCTTCTGAGCTCCCAAACTATGGTTGGACACTGTATATTTTTGTAGTCTAGTCTTTTAAAACGACATTGTTACTTTGGGGATGCACTGACGTTCATTAATCACATCATCACTGGCATGGCAGGAAAAAGTATGTTTAATATGCCCCGTTCAGGGAATTCAAATCCAGTACTTTCAACCAATAACGTCAATACCATATAATATCACAAAAGTCTATGTTATTCAATACCAAATCTTTTGCAGTACTATGGCCTTTGGGCCCCTCCATCTTACTAGCTGATATAACATAAAATTAGAGGCCAACTGATAACAACCAATAGCAAATAGCTAACAGCTTATGACTGCTACAAACTGTCTGAATTATATACATCTCTTATTAGCTACTGGTATATTGTGTCTAATTGTGGCTAATTATTATAATGACTGGATGGTTGTCTGGGGTTCTCACAAGTTACAGTTAGCTTAGTTTGATATAGTATCAGTGTCCATGGTGACAGTGTTGCTTTTTTACTGTTTCAAATGCTTCACTTTCTACATATTTAGGTTAAATCATTTCATTTTCTCTTTCTCTTCATGTTTCATGCAGTTAGCTGTTTGTCGTAAACACCATGCTTTCATGTGCAGGATTAATCACAGCCCGAGAATCTAAACCTGGAATAACAGAGAAAGGCATTAAACGCTGTAAAACAAGTTAACCATATCTGTTGCGTTTTGTGGAGCTTAAACTTAGTTCGAAAGTCTAAGTGGAACCTGCTCTGAGATAGAGACCCTAGATTCATTACTTCTTGTTGTCTGTGTAACGTAGGAGTCTTGCAAGTCAGTTGCAGTGCAAAGCAGCCTTATGCGGGACAGTCCAACACTCAAAGTCCATACAGGCAGGGGTCAAAACACAAGCAGGCAATATCAAAGGCAGATCCATATCAACAAACCAGAGGTCAAAGTGGGGGTCGAAAAACAGGAACAAAATAAATGAAAACAGGCTTCGAACTCAGGTTAACAGAGAATTTACAACAACTCAAACACACGAGGGGTGCAACAATTAATCGACTTAGTTGACTAAAATCGATGACCAAATTAGTTGGCAACTAATTTAATAGTTGATTAGTTGGTGACATCACGTGTGTTTCTCGCCATCACTAGGAATGTTCTGACATTACCGCTTACTGGAGAGTTAACAAAAGCACGATGGCAGCCTCAAGAACAAAAAGTGAGGGAGCATTTCACGTTAAAGCCGACCTTAGTTGGCATGGGAGCACGTCCTCCATGCTGGAGCA